TTGGTGTGAAACATTCAAATCAGTGACCTTTGATCAAGTTTGTGAACTTTTCCATCTAGAAGTAATTTTACAGTGCCCTGTGCTGGTTCAGATATGATGAGTGTGAAAACCAACACAAATATCTGTTCAAAGGAAAAGGTTTAATCTCCAGTCATATCTTTAGCAGCTCAAAAAGCTCTGACACATGCACAGTGTAACCATCAGAGGGCCCCAGAAATGACCTGGAGAGTTTAACTGTTGCTTAGGTTTCTACTGAATGTAATTTATTAAATGTCCAACTTTCATATGTAGGTTTGACGTTGTGTATCATGCTATGTTTTTATATGTCTAGGTAGGAAGCAGTGTTCATTTCTTAAGCTAATACTTGAATGTTGCCCTCAGTTTACTGAGAACCCGTAAAATACTTAAAACTGAATGTAAATAAAATGATGCGATGTGCTTTTACTCTAAGACTCTGCACTTCTTTTCACATTGTCCTGCTTTAAAGAGCCACAGAAGAGATAAATGTATTCATTCCATCAAAGAAGCTGTTTGTCTTTTGCAAAAAACTGCCAACCTGATCTAAAGCAGAGGAGCCCTGCCTGGTTTATTCTCTGACTCACCTTGAATAGATGACGACAAGTTATAACAAAAGATCAATCCACCAAGATTACACATATTATAATCTAATAAATTGGAAACAAATATATGAATCATGTTTTGAGTCAAGCTTGACTGTGAACATCCAATCTTCTCCACCAGAAGTACAATAAGCATCCAGCTCAGCAGGGAGAAAGTTAGAAATAAGACCTATCGCTTGAATTAAATACCATTTCTTTTTTATTTGTCTCCTCCAGTAGGAATTCTGCATGACCACTTTTTTTATTACTTGAAAGATGCTTTCTATTTAATGCTAAAAATCGGCTTTATTGTTCTGTCACTGCAGGTAAGAAAGGAAAATAATAGCTTTAATATCATATTATATGTAATGCAATCAGATGCATCTCTGCACATCAATATACAGTTATTGTAAGCAAAAGTAAAACAAAAAAATTAGATGAAAGGCTTTCCACCCAATGATACAAAATGGACATTACATATATAGTGCATTTCCAAGTCAGGGGACCCTAAAGCACTTTATGCCACAATCAAGGTGAAGGATCTTTTCCAGGGATGCAGAAACCACTTCTGAATTTTTATTGTCATTTTTGTACTGTCACAAGTACAAAGCATTGAAATGAACTCTCTGCATTTAACCCATCCCCTTGGAGAGCATTGGGCTTCCATTGTGCAAGAGCAGGGAGCAGTGTGGGGTTAAGGGTCTTGCTCAGGGACCCAGAGTGGCAGTCTGTGGGAGTGGGGCTTGAACTCAGAACCTCTGGATTCCAAGTGCAATGCCTTAACCACTAGGCTGCCACTCCCCCATATACTACGCATGTTGCCCCTGTGTGGCAAGTATGTGTGTCTAAATGTACATATCTAGATGGTACTTTGCTTTTGGCCCCAGTATCAGCCTAATTTGAAATATATTGAATTATTCCATATACAGAGATTGTTGTTTATAGATGCTCTGTGCATGCTGTCCTTCTCAATAGCTCATCTTTGCATGACAGTGTGTTGTTGCTGGTTGCTTTCAGGGGCAGTAAAACTTGAAGTTACGGGACTAGCACCCCTAATAGCTAAAAGTTACCTAGTGTTGCTATAAATTCACTATACAACTGAATCCAGATCCTCAACAATACCATAAAGACAGAAATAAAAAAGATTCTCTCACAGTCTGACTTTACAAAGATTTTCTAGGCTTAAGGTCTCAAAGAATCACCAGAACTGTTTCTATTCTCTAAAACAGAATACCTGCAGCAGTATTTTTTGTTATTTCCTCCAAAGTAACAAAAAAACAAACAAACGTGTCCGTAGTTGTGGGTGAATTTGCTTTTAAACTTGCTGGTTTAACTTCCTAGCTTATTTCTTAAAATTTTAATTAAATATTTCCAAATATTATTCCCTCCTGGTGATTCCATCGGATTTGTAAAATGCATCAGTCCCTTTGGCAGCAAAAAAAAAAAAAAAAAAAACACACATTGACCTTCATAATCTCATCAATTCCTCTTAAATTTTCTACAAAACGGTTAAAGATATTAATAAGTAAGTCACAGATTTTTTTTGTGGAGAAATAAGAAACCTAGAATCAATGTGAAAAATGTATTTAAGACCGTAATAAAGGTGGTGTTGGCTTGCCAGATGTTTATTTATATTATATTGCATTTAATTCGATATATCCTTTAAAATGGGCATATAGCAACTTTAGAGAAACTGGCAGTTGGGAATGGCTCAAAGAAAAAATAGTGAAAGTCAGATTTTTCTCTTGCAACCCTTTGCAAATAATTATATGAATAATCCACTAATAACATTTTCTGTAGATGTCATCAAAACACTGCATAAATTCTTTAATTTCAAATGAAAATCGTTACCGTCTTGTCCCCTATGGTCTTACCCACTTTTTATGGCAGGTAAGAAAATCCTAAAGAACAAAGTAAGGCAACAAAAAACATATTCAAAATGTATCACAATTAATTTTAAATGGAAAAAGAGTAATTTTTTTGTGATTTAAAAAAAAATATATAGCCTAAATGACAAATATTTTTTTTAATTACTTACAGATTAAATCCATTCTGAAATCTTCACTATCTCAAGAAAACAGCCTGGGGGACAAAAAGGACCTTGAGGATAAATTAAAGCATGCTGCTACGAACAGAGGCACTGTGTCAAAAGTATACTGACTATTGTATATAATACTAAAGCAGACCATAAATATGTAAAAAAAAAAAAAAAAAAAAAAAAAAAAAAAATGGGTAAAAAACATTGGTGTGCCCATTTCTGACTCAGTAGAATGCAGCACTGAAATAAAGCACAAAAATGCCGAAATGTGTTAAGTATAACATCATACAGCTCAAAATAACAAATCAAGCATAAATTACATCTTACATTCTAAATAGAATGGACAAAGAAAAGTGGAAATTGTGCTGGCATGGCTGTGGGTCAGAAGGCACACTGCTGCATCTGCTTAGGAATTTTCCTCCTGTGCAGATATTCTGGAGGAACATAACTGACACATTGTCTCATATGCTAGAGGTGGAAATATCACTTTGTCCCCTGATTGTCCACTTGGAATAAAGACTCAATACTCTTAATCAAAGAATGTGGACTACATCATATCACTGGGCTTTCTAGCAGCCAAATGTATAATATTGTTTTTTTTTTTTTTTTTTTTTTTTGCGGCACTAGTGGCTCGTTTTTTCAAAAGTAGGCTGACAGGAAAGGGGTATGAGAGAGGGGGAGAGACAGGCAGCAAAGGACCACAGGTCAGATTGGAACCCGGGTTGGCCCCGTCATGGACTAAGGCCTCTGTACATGGGTCAGGCGTGCTAACTGCTGCGCCACCTGCATGCCCAAGTGTATATTATTGTTGAACTGGAAGGAAACAAACTATAATTTCTTTGATTTACAGAATTGGAACAAAAACTTTTTGGAATTGGTTGCTATTGAACAGGCCGTCCAACCAGATTATATATATATATATATATATATATATATATATATATATATATATATATATATATATATATATATATATATATATATAAAGCTATGTTTATATAGGCTGATGCCTTTGGGCTTGTGAAACTCATCCCTCTGAGACCTCAGTGGTCTGGAAACCTAAAATGTAAGCATCTTTGACATGAACAAGTGCCATGTTGCAGCTAAAATAAATCTATTACCTCTAATATAAAGTAAGCAGAAGAGATTCCCTGAATTATAAATATTCTACATACTTCTCCTCAATTCAATTAGAAATGCTTCTTTGATCCCAAAATGAAGTGAAATGTAGCTGTAACTTTGTAATTGTAGATGTTAATGGGTGCATGTGGGAAGGCTGTCCTACATAAGATCTAGAGTCTGAAACCTCAGCTCTTGGTCAAAATCAATGATTTTGTATTATGTGCACTAAAAATCTATAAATGTCTGTTGTTTTGCCTCCCGGTTTCAGGTTTTTGTAAAGAGATGCTGCCAATACATATGGAGTTACTTCATTTTATGAGGTTTTTTGACAGTTAGATGTTTAACAACATAAGATGACTGATGGTGAAATATTTAAGGGAACTTTAAGGGTTCTTGGTTTTTTATGATGCCAGAGTCATGAACCAAAAACTATAAAATTAAGACTGCGTTGTATCTTTTATGGATATTCTAGTAGCTTTTTTCATTAAAGCACTGAACTTGCAAAAACATTAATCTTCATCCATGATGTTCCACTGCTCTTATATAGCTTATATAATGATTTTAATGGGAGGAAGCTGGTCTGAAGTGAGTTTACTTGCATTTTATTTTTTGTCAAGAAACATTACGGTCTGTTGTGCAGTGGTTAACACTGCAAATAGGTCCTACGTTTTAAATTTTGGCCTGGGCTTTTCTGCATGGAGTTTGCATGCTGCTCTGCATGTGCAGATACTTTTAACCCTTTTTGATCTTGGGATCAGTCTGTTGCTCACAGTCAAATATCTTAAAAATGTGTGAGAGTTGCTTGATTTCCTCTGATAGTAATAAATATATATACCAGTGGCGGCTGGTGGAGTTTTCTTCAGGAGGGTTATAAATTAAAAATAGACGTATACCAAAAACCAATCAAATGTATACTAAGTTATCAGACCAGCATATTCATATAAACGCCAACAAGAAAAAAAAACTTTATAAACACTGTATAAGAATAAAAACATAATTTCATGTACTTGTTAACTGTTTGTACATAAATTGTGCCCTTCTTAGGCCTTGTGTCGTAATAGACAAGAACAAAGAGCCTACATACAATTACTGGAGGGAAAAAGAAAAACAGACAAACAAAAACAAATATGTCAAGGAGTATCAAATAAAATATAATTCTAGTAATAAATTTATTCTCCAGCATCAAGCTGTCCAGACTTCACAGACCTCGAACCCTCCGAAACAGCAGGGGGCGACATTGCATCACTAATGTAAATTTTAACCGTATCTGTCACGTGAGGAAATGTATTTAGAAGTCAATTCTGGTAGACGAGATTAAAAAAAATATTAAATCTTACGAAAAACTAAGGATAATTAAGCTTGAAGGTCCTACATTCTTTTTCAGTTCGATTTCAGAGGTAAGCCGTTATCGCATTAATAAAACTAGCATAATTCATGCAGGCGCTACTGCTAGCTAAAAGTAAACGGTGCTTATATGTTGGCTGTGTTCACCTTTAACAAAAGCAGAGCGAATACCCGTGGGTTTAGGTAAAACCGTGTGTATAATTGGTAAATACTGCGTACATTCATGCAAAAGTTGATAGTTTAGCTCAACTTTTGCTGCGGCGCGTGCGTTAGCCGCTAACGTTGGATGCTAGTAGCACCTGTGTGTGCCGATGTAAATGATTCAATAGAGGATGGTGGTTCTCCCCAGTTGTTTACATGGCAGAATAAATAAAACTCATATGATCCAACAGGAGTCAGAGGGGAAAGTATGTCTGCAGAGTGGGATGAACAGCAGGCCTATGAGGAGCTGCTGTACTGGGACGGACTGATCCAACGAGGCCACCGTCTCCTTCTGGAGGACTTTGACAGGTAAACGCTGAAAACACGCGATTACTATACTAGCAGAAATATATATATATATATAGCCAGACTATGTAATAGTTGTTGTTTTATTCTTCAAATTTTCCTACAACCAAAAAGGATGCATTAGTAATGATGAGATGATGTATGAAACCACTTATTTCAGCCATCGTTTATTTTTTTGGGGAAAAACCATAATGATCAGGTGCAAAATCACAATCAGCAGAATGCCATGATGCTTGGATGCATTTATATCTTCTAGAGCCTTTGGTAAATGTCGTTAAAGTAATTAAATTGTTTTATTGTCACATCTGTTCAATATATATTTCAAAATGCATATTTTCTTAGAAAATTACAACCTTTCTATGGTAGCCTGTGGATGTTTTTTTCCTTATTGAAATGGTAGATGTATATCAGTAAAACAGTTAGTTGTTTAATACAGACTATGAGCAGAACCACTGCCATACTGTATATTGCTTAGATGCAATATATGGCAGTGATTTGCAATTCTGCTTGGGTTTATTCTGGCTCTTTATACCCTACTGGTTGGCTTGGGATTAGCCACTCTGGTACCAGAGGCCATGTGAGGAGCGGCTCTTCTGTATGGAAGCAAATCATTACCATATTTCAAATATTACCATATTTCCATTTATACAGCAGCTTTAGCCAAAATTTAGAATTTGCACTCATCATTCAGCGTTGTGAAAGAATCTGGCCCTGATTTCTATTAAAGCACTGTCCTTATTATTGTTATTATTATTTTCAAACCAACTCTTCCTTGTGTTGTTACTCCTCAGGTACGAGGAGCTGCGCTACTGGTACGACTGTCTGTGCTACGAGGAGGAGCTGAGACAGTACCATGAGTACATCGCTGCTGTTCAAGACTTGGAGGAAAGACACCATCTTCAGGTTCTTTTCTTTTTTTACTCCATTAACATTTAAAATTTGCAATCTAAGGTGCTGAAGTTTAATGTCATTCCTGCATATTTTCCGTCCAAAGGGAGTCGAAATGTAGAGAATGTTTTGCTGTCATAAATGTATTATTACATAGTTTTCCAGAGCTATAAACGATTTATTTTAGAATATTTTATTTGCAGAATAATTCTGTTTTTAAAAAATAATGTCAAGTTGTTAACTGACCAATTTTAATATTTTTTTATGTTGCAGCTTTTTGTACAGAAGCATATTGCATTGACTGAAGAAAAAAAATCTGACAGTTTATCTCATAATTACGAGATCAGTATCTCGTAATTATGAGATATCTTCTCATAGTTACAAGATACAATCTCAAAATTACGGGATACGATCTTGTAATTATGAGATCCTGTCTCATAATTACGAGATAAGATTTTACAATTATGAGATAATATGTCATATTTAGGAGATCAGGAAGGGCAGTCATTGCTGAGCTACGCTACATGAAATGTAAACAATGAGTGGGTTGTAGGATTTAATATGCTTTTATTTCATTTTAGGTATGCTATACTGGGAAATACAGAAATTCCTCGATGTAGATGGAATTATTTTTAGTTTGTCTGTATTGCGCTCACTCTACTCTGACTCGCTTGAAGTCACGGTTTCTGCAGGAGCATATAAACCAGCATGGGATGCTTTATGGCTATAAATTAATGCATTTGAAATGCATTTCAGCTGGCTTGGTGGTGTCCCAAAGAACTGTCCGGTACCTTCTTAAAATCCTAGATCTCAGAGGAGTACAGCTGAGGCTTCAGAATCAGTTTAAATGACATCTTTACAGAAACCCAGGTCCCAACTTCATGGAGCATGTCGATTCATAAGACAAACTAAAACCAAACTGAATCTGTTTTAATGGAGATGTTGACGGGATTTCACTTATGGTCATATGGCTGCATGATTGCCCCACAAGTAGTAACCCCAGGATTATAGCTGAGTACTTTATCGATGAAGTAAAAAAAAACAGGAGCGGAGCTCCAGAGCGTATCAGGTCAGCCTTGGGTGCAGAGAACTGTTCAGTGGAACAGATGCAGATATTTTTAAGAAGTAATCATGAAGACCAGTTTTCTGAGAGATGCTTCATTATTGGCTCAAGTAATCATACCCATATATTTATATAAGACCTCTTAATTATGAGATCTTATCTCGTAATTACGAGATGCTGATCTCGTAATAATGAGATGTCAGATTTTTTTTCTTTGGTAAATGCAATAGGCTTCGGTATTGTTGCTTCTAAAATAAAATTGTCAAATTTATAGATATGCAAATTCCTAGTTCTGTTTTTCCAAGGTATTTATGCACATAACTCTTGATATATTTTGGTCTGCATATAAAACTTTTATTTATTACTTTTATTTAATTTAATTTAAAGTTTGCAGCAATATAAAACTACAAACCTATAAATGTGTATGACAAAACAAAACTAAACTAGATGGAATTTATTTACCGTTATAAATCAGATTGCTTATATGATCTTATAATGAAAATTTTGAAAATAGTTTTTTGTATATTCATTTTTTTATTTCGCATTTTTGTTTTGTTCTTTTATTTTGCAATAAAGGAGGTGGTGGGTCCTCCAAAAAAAAGCGGGCCTCTGAATCGTATGGTGATGACCAAGCATGCTGAAGTGTATCCTTCAGCAGAGGAGCTGCAGGGCGTGCAGATGATCATTTCCCATGTGGAGCATGCCTTTAAAGCAGTGTCAGAGCAGATTGATGGTGGGAGGTAAGCAAGATGCCCAAAGGGCTCTGATCTTATGCGCTTAGATAAAACTGCATCAAAACTAAAACATAACCTTTAACGGTGGATTGAAAAAGAATCACAAATCAATCCCAGTCAAATTTACAGTCAGACTTTTAACAGCATTCTCTTTACTTTGAGTTCGGCTTTAAAATCCAAAATTCTTTCTTTGTTTCTCCTGCTAGTGCCAGAGGTGAAGACCGTGTTCTGCGTGGCCTGATGAGGGTTGGTCTGGTTGCCAAAGGACTCATTCTAAAAGGAGACAAAGATCTGCAGCTAGTGTTGCTTTGTTCCACCTGGCCTACAATCACTTTATTTAATCAAGTGACTGACATTTTAACCAAGCAGCTAGAGGTAGATTTTCATGTCTGCACTCATTTGATGGCACATTAAAAACATGTTAATCAGACCTGCAGTACAGACCAAAAGTTTAGACACATCTTCTCATTCAAAGAGTTTTTATTTTCATGACTATGAGAATTGAAGATTCACACTGCTCATCAAGAGAATGCTAGGGGTATGCAAAGCAGTAATCAAAGCAAGAGGTGGCTACTTTGAAGAACCTAGAATATAAGACATATTTTCAGTTGATTCCCACTTTTTTGTTATATAATCCCACGTGTTAATTCATAGCTTTGATGCATTCAGTCATGAAACTAAAGAAAACTCTGATTGAGAAGGTGTGTCCAAACTTTTGGTCTGTACTGTAACTTGTTCTTATTTTTTTACTAGGTAATTTCAGCTGGAACATACACTGTAAGCCCATCTCCAGAGGAGGCAGCCATTGTGGTAAAAAGTAACAAGGAGCCACACCTGACTGTTTCTGTCAAGCTGACATCACCTCTTGTTCGGAATGAGGAGAAGAATGACACTACGGAGGGGGGAGGTGCGTATTTTCTGATCAGATGGAGCTCAGCTTTTATGGGCCTGTTCTGCGTGTTCTCAGAACGCTGGCGTTGTAAGTCTCCACTGATCTATGACTGCGATGAATATTATCCTGATATTCCCCTGGGTGTGGCTCGGCAGTATCGGCGAAGGCATTTTCTGTTTCAGCAGATCTGATTGGCCGTCTGAAATAAAAACCTGACCTTCACCTCTGAAGAGAGTTATTTCTCATTAAGACTAATATGGGTCATGTACCAGTTATTCCTCAAATACCCTCATTTAATTTCAGCAGTGAATTCTCTTTTTTCGAAAAATAAGTTTTGCCCCATCAGAAGGCACCGTGTGTCTGAATGTTTTGCTTTCATAGAACGTTTCTGGCTTTAAGCCTCAATGGAAGTGGGGGAAAAAACAGATATGGCCAGTTATTATATAACTTAAATCATAAGATGCTTAAAGAGAGACTGGCTGTTCGGCTGTTAGATTTTACAGCTTAGTGAGCAGCATTCCTTAATTATAGAGGGTCAGGTATTTTTTTTAATGACATTTATTTGTGAAATGGTCCTAACTAAAGGGTCTCTCCTCTTCCATCTCCTAACAAATCTTTTGGAAGGCGGTGGTTAACCTAGCAGCAACAATAGATCCTGATCAGAGCTGTAGCCTCAGTGACTCTCATGTATGTAGCAAACATGCATACTCCTTTTTTACACACTTTTAAAAATCAAGACATATGGGTGCTCTCCAATTCTGCGCTGGGTCTCAGTTTTTGTACAAAACTTTAAGTCCAGTTAGGCTTGTGCATGGGAAGTTAATTTTGGTAGGGCAAGAATATGTTGATGGTTTGTGCATGTGTGTAAATACTTAATGATTATCCTTCACCATATTGAAGCCACACCCAGTGCCCTTTATCTCATAGCTCAGTGACGTCTGTACAGCGACTATCTTAGACTCAGGCCTGTCAGCTAACGGCTAACGTGGGCTCCTCGCCCACCTGACAGTCCTGACGCTGTTTTGTCACATGCTACTATTTCAGGAGTTACGTTACCTGTGTAGTAGCTAATAACGTGCTCATGCTGGTTCCATTGGCTGAGTTGTGTTTTCCATGTTTAATGTCCAAAACTCTGCAAGAATAACTAGTCAAAGCGCGGATTGCATGCCTTTGGTGCTAATTATGTACATTTAAAACCAGCTGCTGCAAAACTGATTCTGTGGTTTTAAACTATTTTAATCCATTGGAGCAAAAAAAAAAGATAGAATTTAAAAATATACAGCATCTAAAAGAGTTTGATTTGAAACAGTCTGGCTAATAATCGCTGTAAAACTTGCTTTGTATTGGTAACAAACCGATAAAAGTTTTTTTTTGTAAACGTTTTTTTGTAAACTTTTGCTCTGTTTACATTTTCTTCAGCATTTCATATTTAGTTTGCTTAGTAGCAGCTAGCTTGATTTAAACTGCCATTTCTGTAAGTACTCCCTAGAGGAAGTACTGATTAATAAATGAATCTGTACCTAAACATGTTGCGCTGTGAGAAAGCAAAATGACCTCTAAATCAGCAGTTACACTGAACAGCTACAGACCACCAATTCCAGCTGAAAAGATTTTCTTTAAAATAACAGATTTCGCCTAGAGCGACTGTTCAGTGCAGTAAATCCAGCTTTAGTGGTGAAGTTTCCAAACGCTGCCAACACACTGCTGGGTAACAAGCTGCAGTCTCAAAAGAATGACTTCCTATTACCTCTTAAAAGTCCTCCTCTCTCTCTGAGCTTTGAAGAATTACCGATATAAAAGAATATCAGTACAATCTCAAACAAATAAGTTATTTTTCCCAGATCTTCCTACATCTCAATTCTTCCTGACTCTCTTTTCAAATACCTCATTGACCTAGAAAATGTGCAAGTCTTCATGCAGTAGCAGCGTTTCTCCTTAGAGTATTATCAGTTAGTGATTAGTATGGTGCTATTACTGACTGAGAGGTAAACGTGTTTTTTTCCCTCAATGTGTCCCGTGAAGTTTAAAAAAAAACTACCGTATATTTCAGTTACCTGTAAGTTTTTAATTGTACTCATTGCACGGAACAGTAATTCTGCAGGTTTATAAAGCTTTAAAGTTAAATATCTCTTAATATTTAAGACTTGCTATTGAACAACTCAGCATGCTGATTGAAGTAAAACGCATGGGTACGGCCGCTTCTTTTTTTTAAACATGTAGAGAAATGTAGTCTAAAAGAGCCACTTTTTTTCATCTGGCGAAAAATTTGTTAGAATAAGAATTCATATAAAATAAATGCCAGTTGGGAATGTACCTAAATTATATTTTATCCAACACAAAGCCTTATTCTGTCCCTTGTTTTCTCTTTTTTTTTGGTTGAAGCCTCCTTTGGGCAGGGAAATAATCAGTTCTGCTGCAGTGTGGGACAGACGTGATTTTTTTTTTTCCTCTATGCTTGTGATTTCAAACTGACTGCTTTACAGTTTGTGAAGTTTTGTAGGACGGCTGGACCTTTGACCAACTGGACCCACTGTCTCAGGAAGTGGAGGGCAGCAAACCCAAGCCGTGAAGCTGATGGAAAGGGGTTCTTATTCATAGTGCAGACACTTTCACAACAAGCAGTTGTGAACGATACCCTTGTTCTTTCACTCAGTAAAACAAAAGGTTGTGCAGATCTTTGGTAGATGATTTCAACTGGCTGAGAGCAAGACTCCAACATCAGGTGTCCTAAGACTTTCTTCCCTGCTTCTGCTGGTTTGGGAAAAGCTGCCTTCCCTGAGCTGCGAGACAGAGCCAACCCCCTTGGTCAAACTGTACCTTTTCTTCTTACCCCACCTCGTCAATAGAAACGCAAACTGTCAGCGCTCCGCCGGACGTTCTGGACAGGCAGAAATGTCTAACTGCCTTGGCGTCTCTCCGCCACGCCAAGTGGTTCCAGGTTTGCATTCACGTCATTATCTTTAATTCATCTCTCCTTGTTTTCTGTCCATGTAGAGACAGTGACACTTATCAGTTTTCACATATTATATAATACCTTTAAAACCTCAGATTTGAAGTGCTTAAACAGTTAAAGGATGACTTGCTAATCAATACCAATGACAAATATGGATCTCATTGGTATTGATTGGACTAAAACTGAACACTTTCTGCTTTCACGCTAGCAATGTGCAAAGATCATTAAATATTGTAGTTGATTTTGATGAATTTCGTTGCTCAATGTTTGTTTTGTTTTATTCTTTCATGAAAACTTTGAAATCACAGAAGTAAGATCTTTTTAGAGCAGACAGGCTTTCTGACTCAGCTGGATTTTTTTCTCTTTTTTTTTCTTTTATTTTTATTTTTTTTGCTCCAGGCTAAAGTCAGCAATCTGAGTTCTGCTGTCATTGTGATCCGGATAATGAGGGATTTGTGTAAACGTGTTCCTGATTGGTCGCCCCTCTCAGAATGGGTGAGAGATGCATTGATTTACCTAAATAATGTAGCATTGGTGGATGTTGTTTTTTTTTTTTTTCTTTATCTGCTGCTCATAAGGGATCAGTTAAAGGTGTAGTGGAAGGTTTTTGGGAATTTTTAAAAAGACACGCCCTCTCCACTTTAAAAAAAATAATAAAAATGGACATGAACAACCCTTTATGCATTCCCGAGAGAAAACATATAATAAACAGCGTGCAAGAGCGTGCACAAGCCCATTCCTTCTCGTGCACGCTTTTAAAAGTTGCTCTTTGAATCATTCATTCAAGCTTACTTTCTAAAAGAAGATTAGCAAATTTTCCACTATGTCAGAATCACCACCGGTAAGTGAAAATGGGGACTAGCACGTATAGATATCACCAGAATGATTGACAATTAGGAGAACCACTTATTTTGATCATCCACCTGGAAAAAGAAAATCCTCCATTATACATTTTTACTTTGATTATAGCTTAAAAGGAGAAGTGCAGTCTAAAGCTCCAGGCAGGGTATTTATAAGGAAATGCATTAAGCCTAAAGAATGGTAACTATATATTGACACAAGTTGAGGTGGTCCTTTAGAGCTACTTTAAGCTTTAAGATTGCAAAGTACAGGTTTTTGCTAAAACATCATTGTCAGGGAGCTTCAAACTCTTCAGACTGAGTGGCTTCTGGCTAAGTACTAGAACACTGCTCTGAAAAGCCTGAGCTAAAATTTGCTGCTATGCCTAACGACATGTCAAATGCCTGTTGGAGGAATATTTGATGAAGAAACTAAGATTAATCTAGATGACATGATACAAGTATGATCAAAAGGAATTCTGCTTCAGATGAGCTTCCACCCCAAACAGGTTTTAAATTTGTTTGGAAGGGGTTGAAGACCAATCTGCAACTTTTCTTAAAAACTGTTTTTCAAAAATAATGCATCTATAAGACATATCTGCATTTACTGCGACACACGCAGACGAGCATAAACCAACCTTAAGATTTCTGGCATTTATTCTGCCACTTTTTACCTGAACAGGTAATTTTTATGTTATGCATTATAGAACCTGGCAAACGGCACAAACAGGATGAGTGGGAGCATTTAGTGTCATTGAATGGATATCAGGAGTTAAACGGGTAGCCATCACATTTAAGCAGATTGAAGCAGCCTTAAGTAGTATTCTTGAGTTGGGCTCACCCTACAGGACCTTTTAAAAATAGCACTGTTGTAAACACTGACAGCTAGAAGATGCAGATCACATGGGTAGTATTTTAGTTCATCTAATGTAAACTAGTGTATAGCAGCCTTTTCACTGTAAAAAAAAATGTACTTTTACGTTAGTCTGCTACTCGAGTGAAAAGTTTTTTTTTTTTTGTTTTTTTTTTATTGCTGTCATAAGATCATACAGCTTTTCCATGTTTCTTAGCTGCACGCTAAAAATCAATCTCTCTGCAGATTAGCAGATGTATATTTCTGACATTGTCAGGTCCGCATCAGTTTTTCTCCTTCTTTTTGTTTGTCTGAAGTCACTCCTGTTGGAATTATGTCCCGATTGGAGTCATGTTTTGTCTCTCTTTACTCTTCTGACAGAGGTTTTCTTTGTCTTTTTGTTTTTGCTGGATCCAACCTGACACAAACCTCGAAAATAAAAAAGCTATTTAATAATTAGCTAACGATAACTGAAGCTAGTGGCTCTATATTAGTTTTTTTTTATCTTACAGCAAAAACAACAACACAGCCATTAGACTGCTTTCAGCTCAGAGACACAGAAAGTTAAAAGTGAGGTTTTCTTTCCAGAGCTAGTAGCGGGAGGTGATAAACCTCTCAATCATTTTATAAACACTTTGATTTTGATTATACGGACTCAGAAGAGGAGTTGTTAAAATATTATATTGATGTTACTAAGTGCCGCTATAACTTCATACATCTGTTATGGCAGTTAAGATTTTATTTTCTTTAATTTGTTGTTCCAAAGGATGTGCTTTAGGTGCAACTTTATTGGTAAAAAAGGTGAAAGTCAGAGATTGAACAAGCCATCTTTCATTTAGTTATATCCATATTTTTTTTTTATCATATTAATCTTTAAAATGGTTATATCAAACTCTGCACCACCTTTAAGTAAAAAAGGTTTCTAAATCCTTTGGTCTTCACTTCTGCTTCTTTAAATGTGTTTTTAGTTAAAGTTTTCTCCTCAAAAGTGTCTAATTTAATGTTGTTTTAATATTTTTTTCTTGTAGTCTCTTGAACTTCTGGTAGAGAAAGCTATCAGCACATGTGAGCGGCCAATGGCAGTAGGCGAATCCTTCCGCAGAGTTTTAGAGTGCTTTGCTTCTGGAATCCTCCTGGAAGGTCAGTTTCTCTTTATATCAGATGCTATGCAAACCAGCATAGATGACCAAACTGAAACGTTTGTGTTTAAAGACGGCCCAGGCATAAGGGACCCATGTGAAAAGGAAGACTTTGATGCCACTGCTGATCTGACTGTGCAGCAGCGTGAAGACATCACAAAGAGTGCTCAGGTATAGTGAGGCAACAAAAGTATGGAAGCACGAGATCACATCCAGGGATTAAAAGTAACTGTCGACTTTTTTCTCAGTTTGAATGTTTTTTGGCGGATCTTTTGCATTTATGTATGGCATCAATCAGAATCAGACATCCTTTAATAATCCCAGAGGGAAATTACAAGATTCTGCCAAATACCTACTGCCAGGGGCAGCTCTATTTCATGCAGAGGCTGATTAACGTCTCCTCACGCACATGTGTAGCACATTGCATGTGTAAATAGAATACCACAGTGCCCCATTATATCAAACATAAGAACTTGTTCCTTCTCTTTGCGTGTATGGCTTAACTTCTACGCTTGGCAGCCTTCTGCCTCCCCACCTGTTTCTGCACTTTGAAGGACTTACCCACCGGACAAAGCAACCCGCCTATAGTCGGATACTTTTCAGGATATCGTCCTTTTTAAAGGTATAGTGGAGGATCTTCATGGATTTTTCATGGACACAGCCAATCAGAATCCAGTATTCACCCAGACCATGTTATATCAATGATGAAGTTTATAACCAACTTCCAACTCTTTAAGAGAAGCGGTTAGCCTCAAGTTGCTTTGCTGGTAGGACGAAGAGTACAGCCTGAAGAGGCAGGATTCCCTAAATAGTAGCTAATCACTGATAAGTTGCTTTGTCCAGTGGGTAACACCTTCAAAGTGACAAAAGCGCTCAGACACATTCTTCTTCCAGCATGCCAGTGCAGCAACATTCAAACAGCTCATCTTTAGCCTTTCTGACCAGACCGTATTCTGCCAGGATTTCACTGGCTTGTCCAAATCCTATGCAATAAATCCTGTCAGGTTTTTTTTTCTTTTCGTCTTGCACATCCTTTTCTTCTTATGCCCAAAACTTGCTGCTTATGTTGAGATTTCATCAAACATAATCTCACTTACGATCCAACTTGCAATTATTTTTTATGTGTTACTATTACGTGGGTTGTTGCTGATGTCTAGCGTCAATTAAACGAATACGAATACAAGTGTGTTTACTAAGAAAAACATTAATTTATTTTCTTCTTATTTTACCCACTTTAGTTGCAATAAAGTCAGCTTAATTTTCCTTTTTATTCAGTTTGCCTTGAGGCTGTGTGCCTTTGGACAGATGCACAAAGTGCTGGGGATGGACAACAAACTACAAAAATCCCAGAAATATTTGAAATACTGCCGCAAAGGAAGTACAGGTACAGGATGATGGAGATGTTCTGTTGAGTCAGTTTGATCAAAGGTTGACGTCTTTGATTTGCTTCTTTGGTTTAATGCAGACCAGATACCGCCCGTTTCTCGCTACGTCCTCCCAGTTAAGAGACCTTATTCAGCAGTGGAGGACGAACAGGATGACCCCAAACCAGAAAGCAAAGAGAGGAAGTTTGAAAATGTTTTCCCAGCTAAACACTGTGAGTAATAACTGTGTTAAATCATTAAGGAAATGGAAATGTATGGCAAACTGAAAAAAGGAGAGCTGACAATTGTTTATTTTTCACTATAAAATTAGATTTTCATTCTAATTCCAAAGTTAATATTTGTGCAAGTCAGATATTTATAAGTCAAAGGTGTTGCCTGAGTTCTTTCTGTTTTCTCACCTCTTTTTTTTCTGTTATAGTCGATCCCAACATAAATCCTGTGATGCGTCTAAACCAGTACCAGCCTCGCCTGGAGTACCACCTTGTCTCGCAAACTGGTCCGGTCCACGAGCCGGTGTTCACCATGTCCGTGGAAGTGAAGGGAAAAACCTACGAGGCATCTGGACCTTCCAAACGAGCTGCCAAGCTAAATGTTGCCATCAAGGTAAGGTGATAAATCTCCTCTATAGAGCGACATCAGGCTGCAGCCCTATCCCACAGTTATCATGGTTGCTCAGGTTTTCCATCACTCTGCTCCTAGGGTTTGTTTAAGTTAATTTGCTAATCAGTCAATCTGTCTGGGGCGGGGGTCTCAGGTGTTCAGATTTTTTTTCCTCCAGCTCCTCAGGGTTAGTGTAATGCTAAACTATCTTTGATTTCTTCCAAAGTAATGCTTATACTGCATCCAAAGTAGATATTTCTTTTTTTTTTTTATGATGGAGATTAAGATATAGACCGAAATGAAAAGACACATAGACCTTCCTAAAGTCATTGCCCCATGTCTATTTAGTAAAATAAGAGGAAAATGTTGCCTTGTATTTCCATAAAGGATTTTTTTATTCTTTCCTTTTATATTTTTGCGTTTTTAGTTCACATTGTTTTAAATGTAGTTCTCTTTGTGTAATTTGTGTTCATATGAGTCCATATGAGGCAACTCAAAATTTCAGGGGTTTTGACAAAAGCAAAACTGGAATAACCAGGTAAGAGTGCACTAGATTGGTGCTTTTAAATCCAGTGGTACAACATTTTCTTCTGAGGGAGCATGACCCTGAACCCCAGAGGGATTTAATTCTTCACCTTTTTTTAGCACTGAAATTTTTTCACCATTGCTCTTTGAGCAAGCCTTATGTTATATTGTCTGTATATTCCTGTTGGCAATTATTTCAATAATTCATTTAATCCCACCAATCTTTTCAGCCCCAAATGTGTTTTAATGAGATGTCAGATAATGTGTGTGAGTGGCCTAATTTTCCTCCGTGGAGCATAGAGTAGCCATTTATGCTTACTGTGGTCGGCTTTTTTTTTTTTTTTTTTTTTTTTTTTTTTTTTTGTTAATTAAAAAGAAAGAGAAAAATATTACCCATTTGTTAGAATTTGAAATTGCAAAAAAAAAAGTTGACTGGCAGAACACCAGCGATCACTTTCACTCCGGTATGCTTGCTAAGCTAACATTAAACATTAGCCGCTACCTAAGCGGGAGGTTTAACCGTCTACCTTCCTTTCCTATCCACAGGCCCTGAAAGATCTTGGTCTTCCAACAGGCCTGGAGTCCAAGTCAGAGTCGAGTGGCGATTCTGATTCTCAAAAAGCCGACACAGCTGGAGCCTCTACTACCGCAGAGGAGGTGAAGGCTTTGTTTTATCCCTCTTTTGAGAAACATATACAATGCCTGAAGAGATCAGAACTGTTTGGTTTTATTTTTCAGTTATATTCATCTTTTAACAGGTTGGTCAGGGTCCCCTTCTAACTAAGAATGGGAAGAATCCTGTGATGGAGCTCAATGAGAAGCGCCGCAGCCTGAAGTATGTGGTGCTTAAAGAAACTGGGAGGTCCAGCGCCAAGTCCTTCGTCATGCAGGTGAGTCAGCACATATGTCTGTACACTGTAAGTCTCAATATCTGTTTATATTATAAAGTTTTCTAAACAGCGATTCAACAAAGGGTGCTTGGCTGGAACTAGACACAACCACCTGATTAAAAAAATAGATGAATTGAAAAATGAATCTTGATACCAAGAGTATGATGGTTTTCTTTCTTTTAAATAAAGCTGAATCTGATTTTAAAGCAATTAAAGCATAACCTGAGAAATTAATCAAAACAAAGAAAGCCAAGTGAAAAATTTAGACTAAGTTTAAAGGTGTTTCTTGGTTGAAAGATTGGGCTGGGTGGCCATCTTTACAGAATAAAGCTGCAGTTTATGTTTACATCAGACTTTAGGTCCCTTAATAAAATACAACATTTTTACACGTCATATTCTCAACAGTGAAATGGCACAGGCTAAAGAACGCTCTTTCCTCTCCTGTGTCTCAGGTGGAAGTTGACGGGCAGAAGTTTCAAGGAACAGGCTCCAATAAAAAGGAAGCGAAGGCTCATGCCGCCCTCGCTGCTCTGGAAAAGTTATTCCCAGACGATGACGGAGCTTCAACCGGCAACCGAATGCCAGCAAAGAAGAAGGTCGTATACACCGACATGGTAACTTAAAAAGTTTTTCCTTCTCTTTTGTATTGACAGACCACTTTCATTTAAACCATTTCTAATTTAATGCTAAACAGCACATCCCAGGATTTGGCACAATCCGTGGTATTCCGTCAGACACCGGATCACGTGGCTGGGGTCCTAACAGAGGGGGCCACGGCAGGGGCCGGGGACGAGGCCAGGGCCAGCCTTTTGCAGCAGGAGCCAGTTATAACAAAAGTAGGTTTTCCACTGATTAGATATGTAACAAGGAGCTTCCCATTAAGGAAACCTACTGAAATGCTTTTTAATTTTTATTATAGCCAACTACAGCTATGAGAGCAGCTCTGGCACAGGCTACCGTAAGTATTTAAACACCCTGTATTATTACCCCATTTACACTACCCTTGAAAAACCGTGCTGAGACCGGTCCGAGCTCAGTAACTGAGAAAACTTATCGTGTGTAAATGGAAAGCAAACTGGACTAAACCGAGCTAGACACAACCGAACTGAGCTAACTGCAAACCAGTTCCAGAGGTGGGCTCAGCTCGGTTTTTCCCCTGGCTCGGGTCTCTGATAACAAGAGCGCATGAGCAGAATGCGTCATCTCCGTCTGGCTGCACATCCCGATTCACGCTCCATTCCAGTAGTTGGCGGTAATGCCCCTCCGGAAGTTGCTTGCCAACCAACACAAAACAGAAGAACAACAACTATAAACAACTATTAACATCCACGAAAGGTTGCCGTCTTTGCCTGACCCTCCGCAAACACCAAAGCACAGCAATAATAATCGAGCATAACTTTCTGAATGTGACGGGCACCGCCGTTTTGGTTTGTTTGATTCCCTCTTTCTTCGTCTTCTTCTTCTTGTGTTTTATGGTGGTTGGCAAACAACTTTTGATGCATTACCGCCACCAACTGCTTGATTTCCTCCTTCAATACTGGCAGTAATACCGCAGATCGTCACTAGGAGGCGAGGAACCAAGACAGCGTGATGTGTAAACGGTCGCCAGAAACGAGCTCGGCCTGGTTAACTGATCCGAGCTCGGACGGTCACGGCATGGCTCGGTTTTCCAAGGGTAGTGTAAATGGGGTATATATGTGGCCTTAAGGTTAGATTAAGATGTAGAAGAAGCAGAACAGCTCAATTAATCATCTCTGGATGTGTGAAATCCTGCACCGGTGATTTCCTTGATTTTTTTTATTTTTCACTGTTTTTCAGATAAACTGTACAGTCCTGCCTGCAGCGCAAGTCAAAACACAGACATGGCAGGATTGGACGGCACCGGCTACGGTACCTTTTACCCAGAAAGCAGCTCCACCTACTCCTCCCCACCAGCATCCAACTTCAGCAGCACAAAGGGACAGAGCTACCACTCCATGCCTCCTCCTGTTGACCAGCAGAGCCCATACAGCTATGGGTACGGAGAGGAAAAGAAGAAAATGCTGACCCAAAGCACTCCTGTGGGTCAGGGAGGAAACTCCTCTGGCTACAGCACAGCCTATCCCAGTTCTGTTACAGGAGGACATTCATACAATAACTATGGTAACAGCCAGCTGAGGTTTAAATGCTCATTTGGAGTTGAAACGCTGTTAGAGGAGGTTGAATAACGTCTTGATGGTCTACTCTCTACACAGGTTGGGGAAACCAGCAAGGATTCGGCACAAACCAGAACTATGGAGGCCAGAACCAGGGCTCTTACTCTGGATACGACATGTATTACTGAAGTGATGATAACGCTAAAAAGTCTGGCTACAGCGAAGATAATCCAGAGAAAACAGTTGTGATATTCTAATTCTGTTTCCTTTTATCACTTGACATGTGCTTTTTTTTATTTTTTATAGATGGTTGTAAAAATGTTCCTTTTGTTTGTATGTTTAACTCATCAAATAGAAACTGCTTTTGTTCTAGTTCATTAGGTTGTGATTCTGATTTAAAAGTTTGATGGCTTGAATAAAGACGCTCTTACCTTGTTCTAGGAAACCATTGTGTGTTTATTAACTTGACGTCAGTCTTCATACCCATCTTTTCCTTTTAGACATGTTTCATCCACATCCTTTCTCTTTCCATCCATTGCATTTTTTCCCATTTATTTTAATTTCTCCATCATCTCTTTCATCCACTTTCTGTCTCTCATCCTATCCCTCTCTCCATCTGTTAAGCTTCCATTTTGTCATTATTCAGCTGTCTAAATTTTCCTCCATTAAACCAGAAAATATTTTCTATAATCCTTAGAAATATATTGTTCTTAGAAAAGTGGGAATTTAGTTCTTAAACATGAAAGCTAAACATATTACTAAGAATCCCTTAGAGGCTTGATTGGTTGTCCAATGCAATCGGATGACGCTAAAGGAATTTAACAAGTGAATTTTTGCACTTGTTTTTAAAATGATTTAAGGTGCAATCCATTTTCTATTTTAAAGACATTTCAACCATCAAGATTGTACAAGATGATCCATAAAAAGAAAAATCGGGAAGACAAGCTGGAGCTGAAAAAGGCAGGAAAAAGAGTGATTAATGTTGAAGTGTTGGAAGTGGAGTCTAGACACGAGCTATATTAACCACAGGATCACGCGTGGCGCTGATGACCGGCTGGACCCAGCACTGAGTCAGGCCGTGAACGAGGATCATGCCTCTGCAGCATGGCCTCTCCTCCAGGAGCGCTGATAGATAAATAGGAGAAGAAAGGGGGAGCGGTGTGAGAACACAGCAAGAGTCCATCTCTTCTTCTATCAGCTGTGAGTGTTTTCTATTTTGCTGTTTCTCTTTTCTCTCAACTTCATGGATATTCTTTATTTTATTCGTGGCTTCTGTTTCTTCCAAGGCGTATAGGTGTTATTTTAAATAGTTTTGATTAGATTTCTTTTTTTCTTTGAAATGTGTTGAATCAGTAAACTGACCTCTGAGCCACTCAGCCACATATACATGGCCACATTGATTGGCCTCTATTACCTCCAGCTGGGGTGTGACAGCTCCAAGCTGAACCAATCACACTCAGCACACTGGTGTTGTCTAACAGTCTGAAGGTAATGAAACAGGAAGCATGGTGAGCTGAGACTTGTAAAACCTTGCTCAGCCTGTTCTTCCTTTATTTTTTTTTTATTTTGGTCACATGGGTGCAAAGCTTCAGATGAGACTTTTGGTGCGCTTCTTGTTTTGCTTAATTGAGGTTGAAGAACTCTAAAATTGCCTGTTTTCTTTTTGAAGATGGCATACGCTCTTTTAGCAGTCTTATCTGCTGCTATCAGTGTAACTTACTGCTACGCCGCTGCTTTTCAAGACCTGGGGGGGAATGGCAGTAAGTATTTACTCTCACCCTCTGTCTCTGCAGTTTAATTGGTGTTCAACTAAAGATCTGTGTCTTTGTTTTACTCCCTTCCAGGAAACAGGACATCCATTAAGTTTCTGGCTGTAGGGGACTGGGGTGGATTGCCTTACCCGCCGTATATCACGGCTGTACAGAAGACCACAGCTCAGGAAATGAGCAAAGTTGCAGAGCGGATGGGAGCTGATTTTGTCCTGGCTCTCGGTGATAACTTCTACTTCAAAGGCGTAGACAGTGTGGATTCCCCTCGGTTTCAGGTCAGTTGAGTGTCTCCGGTACAAGACCATGCCTTTTTCTGCAAGATCAAACTTTCTCATCACAATCTCCCACTAAAAGGAAACCTTTGAGTCTGTCTACACTGCAAAGTCCCTCAGGGTCCCTTGGTATGTTCTGGCCGGTAACCATGACCATGCAGGGAACGTCAAAGCTCAGATCGAGTACTCTCAAAGGTCTGACAGATGGTAAGGAACTGGCCGGTAACTCTAAATACCATTGAAATATGAGTCACATAGAAAAACCCACTATTTGAAATTGTCAGTCAAATGGAGGACAGCGACAGTACTGTAGCAGGGTTGTTGACTCCATCCACACAAAGTTAGTCATTACAGAGGTAGGGCTCTCCAGTATGCTGTTTGCAGGCATAATAATGGAACGATAGGTTAAAGAGAAATGTGCACAAGCAACTGCAGCCTTGTGAGACTTTGGGGGGGGGTAATCACAAGGAGTGCACTGGGGCTTATGTCAGCTTCCATAGACACTGCACTGATGTGGACTAAAACTGTAGAATTGCTTGTTTTACTCCACTCCTGAACCAGAAACAATTTCAGAGTTGACTAGGGTGAAACGGAGGTAACACTGAATGATTTTTTTTTATTTTCTGCTCTTAGATTTGACCATTTACTCCCATTCTGACCAAATCTGATCCACACTAGTTCAGGAAATTGATCCCAAAGTTTGCTTGTTTACCCTTTAAGCTGTCACACTAGGCAGAGGCTACGTTTGATTATATTGATTAGTTGGATCTTTTCATCATCTGATGTTATTCACTAAGTCCCATTCTGCTGCCGTCAGAGAACTAGAGATAAGTTGTTCACCTGAGTAACTTCTCTTTGAGGGTAATGTACGTGTTGGAGTAGTTTGATTGCACAATTTTCACTTATTAAGAAATAGGATATTAAAGAAAAGGTACTTTTTTATTGAGTAATATGTTGGCTACTCAACCAGGATAGGATGAACTGGTACATTTTAACGATCGATGCATCCACACAACTTATGAAGAGAGCCTTCCTGTGTGTATATGCAATCTTCCTCTTTTCAAGATATTTCCCCCACCCCCCAGTCTTCTTAGCTTATTTGTGTCATTTTGTAAACTTGTTAAGATGTTTCACTCCAACTGTTTTTAAGAAATAACCATGTCTACATTCAATCCACAGGTTGGATGTAGACATTCAACTTTGGGAGAGAGTGCGTTTTAACACTTTTTTTTTTTTTTTTAACATTTGTTTAGGTAGCTATTAGCTGAACCTTGTACTCCTTGGTTCATCCTATTGATGTAGTTTTGGGGGGCTGAGGGCGTTTTTTGTTGTTGTTGTTTTTTCCTCCCATTTACCTTATGCCTGGATTCTGGCATCTGGACACCCAGCATGATTAGCAGTCATCCCCATACTGTGAATTACTGAATCATTCATTTGCTTGTAGGACGATGCAGTTTCCAAAAGGTATTTGGAAGTAGAGAAGTGAAAATATAAAGCTTATTGTTTCCTTTTTCTCAGGAAGTTTCCTTCTTATTACTACGAGCTGAACTTCCGCATCCCCAACACAGGAAAGACCCTGACTATCATCATGCTCGACACCGTGATGCTTTGTGGAAACTCGGATGACTTCATGGATGAGAAGCCCAGAGGGCCGCTGAATTCAATGGATGCCAACCGTCAGCTGGTCTGGCTGCAGGAGAGGCTTGCTCGGTCCAAGGCGGACTTCCTGTTGGTGGCGGGTCACTATCCAGTTTGGTCCGTGTCTGAGCACGGCCCCACGGAGTGTCTACTGCAGAGGGTTCACCCTCTTCTTATTAAGCACAATGTGACGGCCTACCTGTGTGGCCATGACCACAACCTGCAGGTCAGCCCCACAACATTTCCTCTTCTGTGCTTTTACCCCAATGTTGTTCAATGATTTATATTGAACTTATTTCTCTATCTGCAGTACCTGGAAGAGTCTGGTGTGGGTTACGTAGTGAGCGGCGCTGGAAACTTCTTGGATCCAGACGTCCGCCACTGGAACCACGTCCCAAAGGGCTCTCTGAAGTTTTTCACTGGTCAGGCCTCGACTCTTGGGGGCTTTGTTCATGCAGAGGTCACAAAGAGCAAGCTGATCCTAACCTTCTTCCAGGCTAAAGGCACATCTCTGTACCGTACTGTCCTTTCCCAGAGGGAGTTCAAATAGGTGTTCAGCCGAGATTATCGTTTATCCTGAGGATTCATCTACAGTATCAAATCAGAGAAGGTTGATCCTACTTTTAACTTTTCCTCGAAATTTTCAGTGCTTTAATTTTTTTAAAAGAAATCAATGTTTTATCTGAATTTGTTGTAAGCTAAAATAAATTTGTTTTGTACAGTGTGGTCTTGCTTTCTTTGGCAGTTTCCAAAGATTGTATTTTCCAGAGCTTCGTGGGGTTTGGTAAAAATGACAGATGCTAGTAGAAATCTTTATAGCTTGTGCTTTTCTTTTAGCTGGTCTGTGTGGGTGGGTGTGCACCTGAGTGAGGACCACTTTTCATATCCTCTGCAGCTAAGTGATGACATTTTCTGTGGTTTTGTTAAACCAAAAGTCTAAAACTAGGAGGTAAGGGACCGATGCAAACCTGGACTGGCCAAACCAAATTGCATTTTGTGTTACTAACATTTTTTCATCCTCACTTTTTTTTTTCCCTCCCTTGTGTTTTTATTTACTTCCTGTCTGTCCTTCCTTGTTCCTCTGTTTCTTCCTCTTTCTTCAGTCTTCTGAAGAACTCCTTCCCCATATTTTCCATCTTCCACAGGTCTTGTGGCAAACTGTAAATGGGGCTAGCTTTGGATTTTTTTTTTAAAGCTGAGGATCTCTGCAGCTCCCCCAGAGTTAGCCTGGTATTTTTACCCATTTTTCTGTTTTACGATCTTCTTGCCCTACATGTATATTTAAATGGCAATTGTGTCTTGGGTTGTCTATAAATATGCCGTATTCCCTGCATTTTTTAGATGGTGTATTGAATGAGGCTCTGTCAGATGCTTTTATTTTGGGTCACTGTTTCAGAAAAGGTTTTAAACTGCTCTACAATTTTCCAATGTGTTCCTTATGATCCTGTTTCTGCTCACTCTAATAAACCTGTAAGGGCTTCACAGAACATTTGCATCCATTATATTAAAATGACCCGGCTGAACCGCACTGATTAATATCTGCATACATCTGGTTGCATGTCAGGTTATTAAGTGGCATTGTGGTAAAGGAGGCCGAGTGCAGAAGCCCTCTGTGCAAACATACCTGAGGGTTTAAATGCTGAGAGGCTGATGCTGCAGGACTCTTTGGGACAAGAGTTTGACTGTCAGCTCTTTTTCTGTCCCAGAGAACAGCCTGGCCTGCCAACAGAGGATTAGCCTGAATGACTACAGGTTGGCAGCTTCCAGGTCCATGAAATGCTGAGCCAGCCAGTGACTGTTAACCTGGGATTGGAGGCAAAAAAAAAAAAATGTGTTCTGTTCATTCTTTCCTCATCAGTGTCTAAGCGTTTTTTTTTTATGTGCTTTAATCTTCATTTTCACGTTAGATTAGTTTATAGTGTCTGTTTTTCCCCTTGATAAACAATCTTGTAGTTCTTCCCTAATATCAAAAATTGTGATGTTTTATTTAAAGAGTTTTTTTTCTGCTCCAAGTATCCTGTGGACTGAGGTAACTGTCTGTAGATCCAATTAGGATGAATTTCAGCCTGTTAGTGTAATTCAGTTGTCAGAGGATGTTAGACAGGTGAGGGTTGCTTAACCCTGACTTATATAGATATCCCGCAGACCTGAAGAAAACCTGTATCAGGTACTGCAAACTAGAGGATCAAGATTATGATGTTTCACATGAGGCCCTCAGCAGATGCTCACCATCATTTCTCTTTACCTTTAACATTTCTGACCGTAGCATGTCTGCATTGTTTACAAAAACCAGCTGTATTTACCACCAGCTCCATGTGTAGAAGTATGACGATAAAGCTAAGTTAACCCCTTAAACAATGTTAATAATCTGCATGAACTAAGTCCAGGTTTCAGTCATGTTCAAACTAAACTCTCGATGCATTACAGTATAAGGTGAACCTAAAAAAAAGCAATAAATACTTTGCGTCCACAAATGGAGCAGAATAGACAGAATTTATTAATATCACTGTTTATTCAATGTGTAATAATCCTATTCAGTGTACTCATGGCTAAATTAACAAATATTGATTCGATTAATTGATAAAACATTAAAATAGTCCTTTATTTTAGTGTAATGTAACACCATTGGTTTTATTTGTTAGCTGGTGGACGTGGGCCTGTTGTGTTGTAGTAATACTAACAACACAACCCATGGGATGGCCTGACCTGCTGACTAGAAACCTGTTTAGTGAATACCTGAGCCACTCCCCAACTGCGAAGCACTCTTGGCAGTGGGCCACAGCCATCTGTGTCCTTATCATACCAACATGTCTTCTAATTGGCTGATTTGCTTCAAATTAACCGTTTTGGCAAAAAATATTTCTCATTTAGTTGCAAACTGTGAAGACCTTGGAAGTTCAGGAGGGTTTTGATATCCATTGCATTATTCAAATGAGTTTAACTTCTGTTTCGCTTTAAATTAACTGCTGCCTTTGTTGAATACAGACACAGATATGTTGCATTTAATGTGTGAATTAAATCATCAGTGTTCTGCTGAGCACCCATAAGATTTTAGGTAGCTTCAGAGTGATGGTATTTCAATCTGAAAAACTCACACAGAGAGAAAAGATAATTAGAAGAATTTATTGATAAGAAAGTATAGTCTTTGGCGCTCAGACCTCGGCAGGAACATTCATGCTGAATTATGCTTTAACATGCATGAGTAGATGAATGTGAATAGGGATGTTCCCCCCGGCCTGAAACTGGTGGTTTAATCCGAGCTGGTTGACAAGGTGATCTGCTGGGCAGAATTGTGGGACTAGAAGACTGAGGGAGCTGACGCCGGGGCTTCACTCAGACTCGGGATATAGAGGTCCTGCTTGGTGATGCAGGTACCGTGAACTGTCCATGATGAGCAAGCATGAAGCGACAGTGGAGAGGAAAAACTCCCCTTTGGGAAGAAACCTCTGGCAGAACCGAGCTCAACATGGTGGTCTTCTGCCGGACCAATGTGATGAGACGAGGGATGGTGACAACTGGGATTAATACTCTCTGATGAGGTTGAGGTGGAGTCGTGTCATGGAGGACGATTCAGCTGCGATGGCGGAGAAGGGGATGGAGGTGGGTAAATGTCGTCTGAATCGAAATCCGACATTGCGATTGCAGGATAGCTGGGATGAGGGTTTGAAAGAGTTTATAAAGTGGAAGCAGGACGCTGATTGGGCTTCGTGGTGGAGTAGTTCGAAGCTGATTGGCTCGCTTCAGAGACGGATTAGCTTCTGATTGATGGAGGTAAGTCAGAGTTTCTTCAATTGAACTTTCGCTAGAGCTTCATGTTAATGTTTGTTGATTGGACGACATGTTGCACCATGCAAGCAGATTTATGACATTGTTTGCAGAGTAGCCGAATATTTTTTTTAGACAACTTTTTATTTTTACTCCTTACATTTTAAAGATAGACCTTTTAGTTTTGTTTCATTTAAGCAAATTTTTTTTTTTTTATTTAAAAAAAAAAAATTAAACCATCAAAATAATTTGTTAAATCCAGACAATCTCTTTGTGGTTGGACTCAGTACTGCACCAACTTCTTGTTCGCTACAGACCAAAATAAATACTTTTTCAAGATGATGCAGTCACCAGTGCATCGCAACACAGAGACAAACAGGACAAACAACCATTCATGCGCACACACACACACACACACACACACACAGAGAATTTAGACAAGTCAGTTAACCTAACAGTCATGTTTTTGGACTGTGGGAGGAAGTACCCAGAGAGAACCCACACATGCTCAGGAAGAACATGCAAACTCCATGCAGAAAGACCCAGGCCAGAAATTGAACCCAGAACCTTCTTGCTGCAAGGCAGCAGTGCTACTCACTGTGCCACTGAGCAGCCTACTTTTATTTTTATACTTTAAGTATTTTTTAAATGTAAAGGTAGTTTGACACTTTTACTTGAATAAAAAACTTAAGTTGATACTATTCTACAAAAGTGTTTTTTAAATGTAGGATTTATACTTCTTTCAACTAGAAAAAAAAAACATTAATACTTTTACCAACGCTGAATTGCCCAAAACACCACAGCTCAGTTATATCTATTGATAGTACATATTTTCCTTTCACTCCCCTTTCTATGAATAGAAAAAATAGAATATGAATTTTACTGAAACACTATTTCTTATCTGTTATACATAATCTGTAATACATAAGATGTTTGAAATATTTCCCTATATGCAATATACATATACTTGATATTCAAATTTCAATCTGTGAAAACACATATTTAACTTTTACACAATGTTTTAATCTTTGGCAATACTTGTTGAGTAAAAACTGGTCCAAATCTTAGTTATAGTGTTAAGCTCTAAAAGTAGACTCTGTATGGTTTGAAAAAATGCATTTAGGTTATAATCTGTAAATTGCATGTTTTCAGAGTGCAGTGTTCAGTCCTCTATGTTAAACAAGTGTCTCATTTTTCTGCATATAAAATAAGATCCCTGCCTGTGTTTATCACAGGTTACTGACTTTCTCCATCTGTTCATCATTTGACGCCCTAATGATTCTAGTCCACGTTGTGACGCTCAGCTGAAGAAACGCAGTAAGATTATTAAGTCCAGCTTTTCAGATTTGGCTGGAATGGTCCAGTCATCTAATTCTGCAGCTCCAAGTCATAAAATGGCATTTTAGTTGTTAAGCTTGCTCATCTAATCTCCTCACATAATCTCTGTCACTAAATATAAACACTCCTCTTCTCACAGATGGGTTGAGAAACCTGAGCTTAACGAGGACTGTCTCAGAGCACCACATTTTAAAGAAAAGCTTAGATCAGCAACTTCTATTTAAGTTAAAAATAGGTAGGAAATTAAAAAAAACTGTAAGATTACATCATTTAGATAATTTAGCACAAAAACACAGATGACGATGTTGAAAATGAGCTAATATGGCTGTGTTTTACCTTGAATTTTGACTTTAGCCAAATCACCGTTTAACTTGAAGCATTGCATGTCTGCCAAGTTATTGTGTCACCTATTTGTTCCAAGTCTCTACACTTCTTTATAATCCTTTTCCTATTATAATATGAAAAAAACAAAATTTCATAAAAAGTTTTTTCCATAGCAAATACATTTAACTTACATAAGTCAATAATACAGCCAACCTGAAAATATAATTTCATTTGTTTTATTGTTTTTTTTTTTTACAAAGTAAATGATTAGCACTCTATCTTCAAGATCTCAATTTTTTTCTAGTTAATCTTGAAGTCTTTATCACTCAGTCACCTTAAAGTGGTCACCTTAACTAACCGAATTAACTTCATCCAACGGGCAAATCTTCTTAGGTCCCACGGTTATTTTCAGCATCAGAATAGGACTGTGTCAGCATGTGGTAGCATTTACACCATTACAACATAAAAAAAAGCCTTTAGATCCTAGTGCCCTTTTTTTGTTTTCCTATTTTTATACCTTTTGTTAAAAGAATAACCTCAATCTTAAAGAGCTGATCTGCTGTTCTCAGACGTACCACAGCCACTCAAACATTAAATGTACAATCATGTGGGAAAATATATATTTGAATACATAAAACAAACATTAAACTTAAAACACTTGAGGAAATAGCTGTTAATTTTTGTTTAATGTGTAGTTTGAAAAAAATAAATAAATAATATTCCTGCCAAGGAAACATTTGGACATCCCACCTTTATTCCCACTTTAAATGACAAATAAATACAGCCAGGCTTTCAGTGTGAAGATTAAAGGATCTTAGAAGTCTGGTAAGGCATCAAAAAGAGGTCACGGAGAATTCAAAACCTGCCGTTCAACTGTTAGAAAACAATCTACCGGTGTGGGACATTAAACCTGCTCACATAGCCAGGTCCCTATGCAGGTCCACCTTAAAAGTGATCATAATCAAAGGAGTCAACAAAAACCCATGGTAGATTCTTGCTACCTGTACAATTATAAATGTAAATTTCATTGGTGTGGAGAAAGTTTAAAAACATTTGTAGCTTTCGGAAAAAAATGAAGGTCTTACCGACATAAATTAAAAGAAGCATCAGCAGAACCTGACACTGCAAGGTGAAGAATACTGATAAATCCACAACAAAGATTTGGGTAACAAAAATTGCTGGAATGGTCTATTCTAGTCAGATGTTGCTGGGGGATTCAAAACAGGCTGTATTATACAAGAAATCCCTCAAACATTTTAGAACTGTTCCTCATCCTGAGGCCAGATACTGGGTGTTGGCCTTAAGCAGTCCTTCACTGGAGCCACAACAGTCAAGAGGGCATGCATATAACAAGGTTAGTCTTGTTCTTTGAGTTCAATTTATAAATGTTAAATATAACAGTCCAGTATGTGAATATATTTTAAAATAATTAAGAATAAAAAGTGTGTTCATATGTATGAGCATATGTTCTAAGATTAACAGGACTAAAGGTTCTTGAAAATAATGAAATGAAATGAATGTGACAGTTCAGTTGATATGATTGCTTGGTTTGGCAGGCATCCTCTTCATTTTCTTGGCACAAAATTGTCAAAAAGAGCAACAAATAAAGGCGAACATCCTGGATACTCCAGACTCCGGGCAAATGAAATAATTTGGTATTATTCCCTCTCTATTTGAACACAAACAGCAGTGTCTCCAGAGGATGCAAAGCCATGATAACAAAAATGTTGCTGCTTTCATGCTCCAAAAAGATCTGCCTTCAAATCATAATTTGCTTTCTGGTTATTCTGTTGATTTTTTTTAGCAGATTTTTCTCCAAGCATAATAGTTTTTAAACTATATTGGAAGCAGATGACTATTTGAAAGATGCAGAAACAAGCAGATGAAGGAGCTTGATGTGCATTTATGTCTTCATGCATCACTCTCCCTGGGGAGCGGCTGGGTGATGGTGGGGCTACTCAAACTGTGGTGGCTGGGGAAGAAGGAGGGGATGTACGGGATGGCTGAAAGCAGCGGGCTGGCCATCGGGCTCTCGTTGACGGGGGACATGGGGATGATTATGTCGTCCTGGTTCCACACGTGGAAGGCGTTTGGGTGGGAGTGTCTCAGGCCAGGCGGCATGTGAAGAGGGTCAACACCCTCCAGCTCTGTTTCCTTCTTCATATCATCTTCAACTGGGCCAAGCAAACAGTCTGTGGACAGAGGAAGGAAAGGATTTTTTTTTAAATAACACCAAATAAATAAATAAAAAATAACTCTGAATGAAAAACTAAGGATGGCAGCACCTATGATTGTCATTGCTGTTTTGCACAATAATAACTTGTTTTTGACATCAGAAGAAGCGAAGAACATTGTGGAGAAACGTCCTGGAGTTCCTGTATGATGTAATGGGTGAAGTGATGGAGGTTAGTAGGCAGGATCCAAGGGATGATTAGTTTCTGCTCTAATTTTGGAAGATCATTGAGCATATCCATTCCATTCATTAACCAAACGCTTTCCTTTGGTCGGGATAAAAACAGGGAATTTACGAGGAATCTGCAAACTATATCAACCACATCACTTTTCTTCAACCAAGTCTCTTGTTTTCTCCTTGGAATTCTGTAAAAAAAGAAACTTGATAACTAAATAAAGCCTTTGATTGATGGTTATTGATTTCTTTATCTATAAGATAATCTAACAATCTTCTCAAGAAAGAGCAAAGAAGTTAATTGCCTCACTTAACGCTGATATTTGGGAGCAGAAGGCATGCAGCTAAAAGCCTGATTAGCTCATGCTTAGGTCAAGAAGAATTATGCTGCAGAGCTTATATGTTGCCTGAATCTGTTACCTGTTATATCCAGCATGAGGTCTTTAATGAGGTGACCGACGATAGCGTACGCCACAGCAACAACCACCAGAGCAGCCATGAGAAGGTACAGCACTGATTTAGGGAGCTGGATCAGGTCCTTAGGTGGGGGCTTGTACTGCTTATACAAAGGCTCCACGTTTTGTACCAAATACCGGAAGGACTGTCCCGCTGGTTCTGTGTAGTTAAATCCATCCATATTGCCAGAATAGGGGCTTCCTCTGCTGTTTCCCCTTGCATCCAGAGAAAAAAAGGCTCCTGGTTAAAGTTTTCTCCCTGCAGAAGAGTCTCTTTCTAAAGTAAAAACTGCACATTTGACAACAGACCTTCAAAATATCAAAAAGCAGTCAATCAATCAAGACTTGTATAAATTCCAGTGTAAAAAAAAAAAAAAAGTTTTTTATTTACTAACTAAAACCTACTCTACTCCGTATCATATAATAAACATTATTTGCTATGGTTGAAGAGGCATTGTTGCATTTCCCCCCGGTTGTGTGCTGTTTCCTCTGTCCTGACATAATCCAGAGTGTGGGCAGTGACAGAGGGAAGAGGAAGGGAAGGCAGGGATTACATCAGATCACAGTGGCGATCCATGAGCACCCATACCAACCCTAACCCAGCTCACAGAGATGGAGAGCCTTTAATCCACAACAAATCTTGCATTGCGCCTTATACAAGACGGCGACCTAAGAAATATGCAATAAAGATGCAGAAAGTCATGTATTATGTTTTACATTTTGAAACTAAACAGAATAAACAATATAACATGAATTTGATCTGCTGAAAAGCAGATTAAATTATATTTCCTAAGAAGAGCGACTGAGTACAGTATCCTGCTAACAGCAGTATTTTAGTTTAAACATAGTTAATGAGTCCAAACTGATCTCCAAAGGCACATTGTACTGTCACTGTTCAACTACTGCAAAGAAGAATAAAAGTAAGTAGATAATATAGATACAAAAAAAGATAATACAATGAAGTGCAATATTTATAGCCAAGCAACAACTCATCTGTGTTTGAATAACAAGTGTTCAGCTGGTTGTAACTAAATTCAGATGAAGTGAGCAAATAAAAAAAAAAAATCATGTAATTTATCTTACATGTTATTCAAAACTAAATCAATATTTCTCAGTATTCTGTAACCTTCCTAACCTAATGTTCTAAAAGTTATTTATAGTTTCTTCCGTAGATATTGCCTGTGAAGGACAGCAGTTTTAAACATTCTTGTAGCCTGTTGTAGCTAATTTGCTCCTCACTTCTTTACAGGTGAGATTCAAGTATATTACTTCAGAAATTATTGCAATATATATCATATTAAATTAAAACATGTGTAAGTTCACTAATTACATGGAAGGTTGAGTAACATTTTGCCTTCATAAACTGTAAAACAATCCCAATATTCTAGCTTCATGCTAAGATATTTTAGCATGTAGCTAGCTGCTGTTGCTAACGGCTGCTAGCAGAGCAGCTTTAGCTAAATTTATGTCTCAATATCAGACTGGATTTATTTATTATTTTTTTAAGCTAGTTGTTTTGAGTTGCTGTATACTGTGCCAAACTATACAGGTTTGTTTTTTTCAACAGGAATTTAGACATAATCTTCAGAACATAAGAGAATTAGCTGAAGCTAAATCTTTCTTTGGATCAGTGGTGAACCTCAAAACAACAGACGTGTCAAAAGTATGAATGTTTATTACTCAAGTAGAAGTATAAATCCTGCTATTTACAAACACTTTTGTAGAAGTTAGAGTGTCAACTTAAGCTTTTTACACAAGTTAAAGTGTAAAAGTACCAGTTTTAAAACTACCTAAAGTAAAAAAGTGAAGTAATACAGGGGAAAAAATGTTACGGACAAATGCTTTAAACTTTTAAACCTATAAAAGGGACATGTTTCTACAATTCTGGATGATAACTTCCTTAGACTTAATTTTCTTAGTTTTATAATTAATGGTTACTTTGTATCATCTTAAAATACTATATATTTTGGTTTGTGTTGAACAACACTTAACAAAATTGGGGCAGCAGAGATTGTCTGGATAAAATTTATAATTTGATTGTTCTTTATACCCACAGGCCATAATGAAAATGAGCTTAAATGAAACAAAACTAATGAGTATTTTTAAAATGTAAGGAGTAGAAAGTAGAGAGAGTTGTAAAAAAAAAAAAAAAAAAAAAACAATTGTAAGGAGTAGAAGTAGAAAGTTGTCTAAAAAATAATTAATAAACTACAGATAGCCAAAATTTCTACTTTAGTAAGGTAACAAATTATTTTTACTTGTCACATCTGACAATTAAGCTGATGAAGCATTTTACCTAGAAGATTTATTATAAACTGAATTGCAGCCTTAAATTTTAAATATAAATCAATTTAGTTTTTTTATGGATTGTTTTAACATTTGATTTCTATTGAACTCAAATGCAACATTTTTCACCAAATAAAATAAACTTTTTGTTAGTTAACAGTTATGCTTGCATTTTATAGATTTTCTTTCAACTTTAAATTTTTGAAGATTATAACTTTATTGACAATTACCTTTTAGAATTTTATTCAAAGGATTTTCTCAAAGTTCCTTTTGTTTATCTTAATAATATTTTGCAAAAACATAGATGTTTATATTTTATTCTTTTATTTTTTGTAGTTTCCGGGTCAAGTTTAACCCAAAGTGAATTTGTGAAGCCTATTATCAAAATTCACAAATAATACAAACTTGGCCCTTTTGCACTGATACAGATAGTGTAGATTTAACCTTTACTATAATAATTCTAATATAAAAACAGCCAGAAGCCCAAACATGCAGGAACCTTTGCCCAGAAGCTGACTATGTGACATTATTTGGTTAAACTTGGCTAAATAAAGCTAAAGTTAATGATGAATGATTTCCAACAGACACTTGCTGCCCAGAATAGGGCAGAAATAAAAATAAAATCTAAACCCAGGAAAACAGAAAAACCCAAAGACTTTGGGACATTAAACAGTCAGTTTAAATTGTATAATGTAAATTTAAATTTCATGGCCATTTTCTTGTCAAATTGTTTATTTTTGACACAAATTATTTGAGACAACATGCTTTGGATTTATCCATGGTTGAAAAAGTTAAATGCTTTTTTCCTGATATTGAAAGCTAAGGCTCCACTTAATGCTTCTTTTAACTTGAGCACAGAAGTACATTTGTTGAAATCATTATATTTTTAAATGTAATTACCAGATTTTTAGGATATTTTCTATTGCTTCGGCTGAAGCAAACCTTGTATCTTCTTTCTCATTTTCTCTGATCCAGACTCAGCCACACTTTAAGACCAGCTAAATGGATTTCTTTTATAATGACCTCCCATCCACCTCCTCTTCCACTCTGAAGGAAGGACAGGAAGACACTCAGATGGTAAAGCCACCGACAGATTAAATCTATTTTAAAATAAACATATGTGGATATTTTTTTTATCATATGTTATTTTGTTTCTTTAAATCCTTACATTGTTCAGATCAATGGAATAAACCCAAACAGTTCTCTAAGTTACCAAATTACGATCAAGATTCAAGAGTTCGAATATTCCTTTAAACATGTTATTTCTCTTCTTGTGAAAGCATTTCTTGCAATATTTTTCTTTTTACTTAGTTAAAAGATACTGACTCTGATTTATCAAGAAAAACATCTTCAAATGTTTGGATATCTGAGTCTGAAGAGGAGCAGAGCAGGTAAAAAAAACAACACCCAAAATGTCAAAAATTCCCTTCATTGCTTTATGAAATTAGGTACCTTTAACTAATACTGTGGGTTTTTATTTGTGTTTTTTTTTTTATTCAAACTTTAATTTTAGCTCCTACATTGATGACATCAACAAAAAAGCACAAGAAATGGTGGAAAAAATAAACCTCTCACGAACCAGAGATGAGGAGATGATTGACAGCTTTCAGGAGAAGTTAATAGAGAAGGTGTGTGTTTTTTTTTTAAATATATATATATGGGACAGGACAGCTCTGATTCTCCAATTTCATTTTTTTTATTACTTTAGACTTAACTTTCTGTTATTAAAGAGGCTCTGAACTGATTTAGTTTTTCGTCCTTCAGGTGACAGAAATGTGCCAGCTGATGAGAGAGCAAATGTACAAAATCTATGAGAAGAACAGCAGTGAATTCCAGAGGAAATTGCAAAGTCTGACAGAGGTTGTGGACAACTGCTCCAAGCTAAACTATGACCTCCTGGAGGCCAGTCAGGCCCTAGCATGTCTCAGGAGTGGTCTAGACATTGATCAGGGTTCAGAGTAATAACAAGCTAGCTTTATCCTCCAAAGGGGTTGTGTTTTTATTTCATTTGAAGACAAGTTTAATGGCATCAGTGGTGTTGTTATTGTCACGTATTTGTCTCATATCCTTTTCTGACACCAAACCGCCGACCTTGCCTCTGGTTTCGTTTCACAAATTTCTAAAAGCTGGAAAAAAAAAAAAAAAAAGATAACATAGAGTTTCTTCCTGTTTCATTTCAGCAACTGTTGTTTAATTAAATGCTGGAAAATAAAAGGGGGAAAAAGTCAAGTATTATTGTGGTATTTACAGGACATTGTGGCACAAAAAACTTAAATGTGATCTGTACATACATAACAATTATAATCATTCAAACCAATGTATATACATAATTTAGTATCAACAAATATCACAGTTGTGTATGCAACAAGTTATGAAAGTGTCATACTTTTAAGTTGTAGTTAAATACATTCCAACAGGCTTAAATCGGAGCCAAACAGACTTTTGCTTAGTTTTTATGATGTTTCCACACATATGCGGGAGTCTTTCTCAGTTCTCTCAGCTCACACAAGAGCAGTCTGTGGTTGGAGCACTGATGTTTTTAAGCAGCATGAAGATCCTCCTTCCTAAGTACATCCAAGTCAGATGCAATTCAATGACCCAGCCATCATTTTCTGGCTTCCATAACCAGAATTAACCCTCCTATCGTCCTCAAATATAGTAACAAATTTGGTCCTTGGGGTCAATTTGACCCCAGGGATATTTACCTCCAGAAAATGATTTACAGAATATTGTTGACCAAGTTTTTGTGACAGGCACTTTGTTTATTTGTTGAATACATAAATAACCCCTTGAAAATCAGTGAGTTGACCTTCCCTCTAGCGCCACCATCAGGCCAAACCTTTAAATGAAAATGAGTTTATTTTGATTTTTTTATACAAATCTTCTCAAATTTACAGGTTTTGAGCACATTCATGACTCTGAGCACATTCATGACTCTTACCAAATGAACCATATTGATTAATGTTGGTGACTCCCCCTTTCCTCTCATAAACATATTTATTTACTTATTTTTATCTATTTTGTTGTAATATATTTGTTGCTAGTTACTGTAGGATCTTACTCACCCCTCCTCTTTTGTTATCCGGGCTTGGGACCGGCAATGGCAGAGTTATAGAGTTTTTTTGTTTGTTTTTGTTTTTTTATGATTTTTTTTGGTTGTTTTTTCTGTTTTTTTTTTTGTTGTTTTTTTTTATTCATTTGTGTGACAGAAAATGGATAATGAGAACATGTCACGTAGTAGTTAGAACATGGAACAGTTTTTAGAGAGAAACAACATGGTGGCTGGAAATATTGCCCTTCCAGTCTCAGCATTCCAAAGACTTGCTGTTGCTTCACCTTTTGACTTATAAAGTCCTGCCAAAATTAGCAAGCCAATGTAGGCTTCCAAATCAACTAGATCCAAGTCTTTCCAACTGTCCCCATAAACACGCTTTCCCTCTAAATTTGTCATCCCAAGCACAATATTTTTGATTGATGGTGTTATGAAGAGCTCGAATGATGACGTCATCAACATGGCTGACTGCATATCTGGTGGGTCCTGGAACCATTTTGATTATATTACTTGCGCTATGTCTAACCTGCTGTTTCAGTGGGGAAAGGGACCATATTATTTTTCCATTTTTGGATGAAATTGTGTCTGCTGGTGGTTGAGGGACAACAGGGGGGTCAACACTCTCATTCTCATCAGATGAGAATTCCTCAAAATCAGGGTCCTCCACAACACAATCCTCAGTCTCAGAGACAGTCTCCTCTAAGTCACTTTCACTGTCAAAGAGCTGCTCCAAAACCTCTTTGACAGTAAACCTTTTCCAGAAGACATTTTCAAAGAGAGAGTGTGCAGATTGCAGTATACTCAGAGCACAGTGAGGAATGATTTGGATAGAGGACTGTAGTGCAAGCTTATGTTTGCTCCTCCCTGATTTGGCATGAACTACCAATGGCGTTGTAGGAATAACCCGCCCTTCACAAGGCGGGAAAAATCAGTTCTACTTTGGCAGGTGTGAGTTCAGAAGGTCACACAGATCCCCAGATGTCTCAGTTCAAATGTATCAACTAAAATGTATCAACTCTGCACCTGCAGGTGTTGTCATGTTAGGTCACTGACAAGTTTTAGCAGCTAAAACAGCTTGGGGTCAAATTGACCCCAGAGGACAACCAATGCGTGTAATATGTATTCAGCACATTAAAAAAATAACATCACAAAAATTTTATGCTTTACCAGTTGTCCCCATCTAATTAGGAAAAGTCATGAAATATGAAGCAAAAAAAAAAAAAGTTAACTAATATTTTTTGAATGATAAACATTGAATGGGGTCAAATTGACCCCAAGGACGACAGGAGGGTTAATGATAATCAGGACAGGTTTGTTTTAAAAAAAAGCAGTTGTTATGGTTTCCAAGGTTTGGCTCCAGTATGGCTATAAAGGAGCCCTTTAACCTGGACACAAATGAATGCTTAGTCCCAGTAGTTTGGAAAAAATAGTGACAAGTGTTTATCGTAAATCTCAGTGGCACTGCCTCTTACAGAAGGAAAACGATGTTCCCAGAACATCAGTTTCATGGAGGTCTATTTACTTTTCCACAGTGAATGCCTGCAGCCCAGTGATGGCTCTGCCCAGGATCAAGGCATGGATGTCATGAGTCCCTATCAGAGGAAAACAACAGAAAACATCCTGAACAAGGTTTTCATTTAAAAAAAAAAAAACAAATTCAGAGAGCAAGCTTGGTTATTCTGTACACCACTGCCCTCTAGTGGTCTTAACTTGTAACTACCAGATAAGGTTGTAGAGACTATTCTTCTACAGAGATTGCTCTAGGAAACATCAGTAGGTACTCTACCTTTGTCAATCCCAATGCAAGTATAGATAAGTAGGAGAAATTAAAATATTAAGGGTCAACTTATTAATTATATGATTATAATCTTGTGCAAGTTTGTTATTAATATTGATGTCTTTTATTGTACATAATATCTGAAAGTGTGCTTTAAAATACACAGAACATTGACAAGATCCTGACAGTGGTGAAATAAGACATTTGGGTTAGCTTTAATTCAGCAGCATAAAGCTCGTTGATTTCATGCATAAAAGAACAAATTTTAAAGGTCAGATGAGTAAAACTTTGTGTTCATATATTTCCGCATTCTTTCCCTAGACTGCCTGCCTCTAGTTAAACATGCAAGTCAGTAAAAAAAACCTAGAAGGCAACCACCAATAACCATGGTAACAGAGAGACTTTGTCAACACATCTCAGGAATATTTGTTCAGCTAACTAACAGCTTACAGCTTAAAAAAATGTCTTCTAGCTCATATTGGCTCTACATTGTTTCTATCAAATCCCAACGACTCTGTCTACCTGCTGCATTGAGCTTAATTACTGCATAATGCTGATGCATACCGAATCATTTAAATTTTTCTAGGAACACCTCACCACATACAATTGATGTTTTATAGGATTCAGGACGCCACACATCCACAAACAAATAAGTGAAGAGTTCATTTGCAGAAACAGATAAAAGCCATTTTTGAAAAAAAAGAGCTGATTCATGTCATTTAATCTTTGCATGGCACTGCTTATATATATATATATATATATATATATATATATATATATATATATATATATATATATATATATATTGGAAAATGTATAAAAACTGAGTTATCTGTTTTTGCAAAAGAACTCTTCAAGTCCTCACACATGGAGCCTGCTTAAAGGGTGATCCAATACTACTATAATTTGAATGCTCATAAGAGCTATAGTCTAACAGTCGCAAATAGGTGCTGAGCTTTGTAAGGAAAATGCTTTCCTATTCATAAAAACAAACAATTCAATAGATTGTGTCTCTATAGAAATATAGCAAGTTGTCTCCTTCTCAAACTGCAATTTAATGTGCTTCTATTTAAGCATATTTTTTGGGAGTTTTATGTATCTGGGCAGCATTAGGATGAGGTAATCCTGTGTAGCTAGCAGGGGACGCAGGTTGACTGACCCAACCTCTCACTGTATTTTCAAAATATGAAACTCGGGTCGCACAGAACAGTAGTTAGCGCTTGAACTAGTGCTAATCTGTGACTTGGAGCATTCTAAACCAGATTGTAAGCCAGGCATTACCAAGCGTCAGCAGGTAGGATCTCTAAACACAGACAAAGTCCTCCAGCAGTGCCAAGGCTGTCATTATTCCACAGTTACGCACACTTTTATGCAGCTATTAGTGGACAGGCGTTAGATTGTCTACAGCTTGCCCACAATGTGAATCATCACACCTGACATGTTGGGACATGTTTCTGCTGATCCCCATTTTGAATGAAACATGGATTTTATGACAAACAAATCAAGGAGCTAAACTAAATGACTTCACATTTTACTTTATTTTGGGAAGTTTTAGTACTTTTTAACATGTGTTCAACTTTTAAAAGGTTTACATAGCTGCCACACACTTTCACAAATTATTTTCTACACACCCCAAGTTATTTAACCAGCTTTTTACATGAGGCTGCTGGTCCTATAACTGTGGTGACTTTAGATGAAACCTAAAGGTGACAGACATTAACAGCACCTCCCTCTGTACCCTCACCCTGCTATTTATGATTATGTCTTACCAGGAACACTGACAGATACATCTGCAGAACTCATTTATTTGTTTTTGCATATACAGATTGATCACTCTGAGATTTATGTCAGAAGGTGAAGATTATAAAGTAGCTGTAATTAAAATTCATACCTCTGAAATCATCTCATCACTAAGCAACGAGCACAGAGCATAATACACAGTAATCTCCAAACTGCTAATAACATATTTTATGTAACGTTATAAAGTTTTCAAATGAGATATTTAATATACCTGCACTGAATCACTTATATCTTTGTATGTAGCTCACTTATTGCAAGGATGACTTTAAAGCAATCATGTATGTAGTAGAGAAAAAATATGTATATATAAAGAAAAAAATAGATAAACTGAAGTTGGGGTCTTGATTTGGGCAGCTTTTCATGCTTACCTTCATAGGTGTTGACAGCCTCCAAGTTCATGACGTGACGGATGATGTGGTATTCATCGGCAATGCCGTTTCCTCCCAGCATGTCCCTGGCCTGTCGGGCAATATCAAGCGCCTTGCCACAGCTGTTCCTCTTCAGCATGGAGATCATCTCTGGTGCTTCTCTATAGACATTAGGTACATATCAGCTGTTGAAATAAATTTACTATAAAAGGACAAAACAAAGGAGCAAAATACTTTGCTTACTTCTTATCAATAAGTCTTCCAAGGGTTAGACAGGACTGAAGGCCAATGGTGATCTCTGTGAGCATGTCTGCCATCTTCTTCTGCATCAGCTGGTTCCTGGCCAATGGCACGCCAAACTGGATTCTGGTCAGGAAATTATGGCATCATAAAATATTTGTATTTTTTAAGATGGGCTTCATGCTTGTTGACCAAATGTACCTGTCTAGAGTGTACTGCCGAGCAGCGTGGAAGCAGAACTCTGCAGCCCCCAGGGCTCCCCAGGCGATACCATAACGGGCATTATTCAGACAGCCAAAGGGACCCTGATCAAAGAAAGCAAGATGAAATTGGGTTCTTACAACTACACTGCCATTGTGAACCAGATACACAAGACGGTACACTTACACCAAGACCTGAGATGTGGGGCAACAGGTTCTCGTTGGGAACTTCTACCTCATCCATCAGGATCATACCTGTGGCAGATGCCCTCAGAGAGAACTTGCCTTCAATCTTTGGAGTTGTGAAACCTTTCATGCCACGCTCCAGGATGAAGCCCCGAACTCTGCCATCTTCACACCTCGCCCAGACCACAGCAATGTCTGCCACAGGTGAGTTTGTGATCCTAGCAGAGAAAAAAACAGGGGCAATGTCACCTGTGGATGCATTCTGTCATACTTGAGTCAAAATATCTAAATTAAAATCATTTTCACATCACTACCATTGTCTCTTAAGGTTCTGACCATCTCATCTGTCATGGTGAATACTTTAAAAGGTCCAAATCAATTTCCATTCCTGTACAGATTATATTCAGATCTACTTTTCCTCAGAGGTGGGTAGAGTACCCAAAACTTGTACTTAAGTAAGATTAGCACTACTTCATTCTACTTTACCTCAAGAAAGAGTGAGGAGGAGCCATCCAAGAAATTATTCAAGTTAGAATAAAAATGTTTTTGCTAAAAAGGCTACTCAACTACTGAGTAACTTGTAACATTTGATTTACTATTTATGAGTATGGAATAAGATAGATGAACATTTAAAGTTATTTGCAAATTCTGGTATTTTAGTCCACAATTAAATAATTGAAACGTTAACAGAAAAATAAGAATAAGAAGAATCACTTTTCCAAACTGGTTTACTTTTTAATATAAAATATATAAGCCCAGTGCCTCCAGTGACAATATTTACCACTTACTGTAAATAATCTTGACTTCTAATATAACAGTAGGTTCACCAGATATAAAGTAAGCTTGTGTAGAAAAAAAAGAACTCCAATTTTGACATAAACTTGAACTGTGTGACTTTGCCTGGAGAACAAGCTTGTTGGTAATCCATTTAGGTTACTCATACCGTATTAGACGGATCTGTGTGGCTGCTGCTATGATGCGGATAATGCACCTGTTGTGGCAAAAAGAGAGCTGAGCAAAAACGCATTGCATTCGATTCACCGGTCGGTCTACTGTACGTTCCTACCCTCACCTCTGCTCATGAAATCTGGATCATAAACAAAAAGACTTGAGCCTTCTCTGCAGGGTGGCTGGGCTCACCCTTAGAGATGGGGTGAGGAGCTCTGTCATTTGTGGGAGGCTCGGAGTAGAGCCACCTCTCCTCCACATTGAGAGGAGTCAGCTGAGGTGGGTCGGACATCTTTTTCAGATGTGTCCCTCGTGGAGGTGTTCCAGGCACGTCCAAACGGGAGGAGCCCCAAGGGATAACCAAGGACACGCTGGGAGGGTTTACTCAAAATTAATCTATGTTGCAGTAAAACTACTTCTAAATTTACATTTGGATCAAAAATAACTCAAGTAATTGTAACCGAGTCGGCAAAATATGAACGCATCTCGGCTTTTCCTTAAAACCCACCTTCTTCTACTTACTTCCAACTCTATTTGCATGTTTTTGCCTTCTGTAAACCTCAAACAGCCTTAAATAAAACAGTTCCCATTACTCTCCCATTAGCTTTTATTTCTGAATCCATTTTGTACAAATCTCAAAAAATAACATCACCCAGTCTGCTTAGTTCCACCTTCGTAGCAAAAATTCTCTCTGACCTTCGTGGTCGCCGATGTCCACTGCCATGTTTGTTTACTACCTGATCTGCTCATGTTGTTCAATAAAACTGCCTTCTATTTGGTCTCCCTCTGAAGTCTTGTAAAAGATTTCTACCACCCATTTAATCACCATGAGTTCTTCTGAAAACAATACCAGTCATGCCCATAAAGAAGTTATTTAGCTTCTGATTACAGACAAAATTCACAATAAAATCCTACAAGTCCTGTTTAAAGTCCGATGTGATGTTCTTGAGGTGAGCTGTAGGGATATTTTTTTTTTATCATATTTATAGCAACATTAGGAACTAATAGTTAAAAATGACACTAATAGTTAAACTAATAGTTTTTAAAGGTATTATGGTGGCTATTTTGTGTTGCACTCTGAAATTTTAGAGGCTGATTGGAAATACAGACATGTAGGGCAGTCTGGTTCATCCATTTGGTCTGAAGGTAGAAGATACAGAAAATAACTGATTTACATGTTTGGTTAACAGTCCATTTGTGCAGAACTTTAACCACCCCTTAAAGAAATGGATGAGAAATTGTGAAATTCATTTGATTTTAACATGCATGTTTCCAGTTTTATGCATCGGCATCAACAGTTTCAATTGTTATCCGATGACTGTTTTATATTATTAATTTGAGATATAAACTTTTAAAATTGCAGCTGTCCAGCCTACATACCATGTCTTGGCTCCACTGATGGAAAATGTACCACTGGATGGATTGTATTTGGCCCTGGTCTCCATGCTACTAGGGTCACTGCCATGGTTTGGTTCCGTTAAGCCAAAGCAGCCCACAATTTCCCCCCGAGCTGCAGAACAGAGGAACATATGCTGTCAGGTTCGATGATCCGATGCTTATCCTTCTGCAACAAAAACTAGCTGACAAAGAAGATACGACTTACCGAGTCGTGGCCGGTACTTCTCCTTCTGGGCCTCTGTGCCGTAAGCATAGATAGGGTGCATAACGAGTGAAGACTGGACACTCATGACTGACCGATACCCACTGTCCACTCTCTCCACCTCTCTAGCAATCAACCCATAAGCAACATAACTGGTGCCTGCGCAGCCATACCCTGCAATGTAGACAGGTCAAAAAATATTTAGCAAAACTCTGTAAACGCTCATTTGTGTAGTGGCTTTAACTTTAATATGTGCATAAGTTTTACATGTTTGTTTTTTACCTTTAATTGTTGGGCCAAGGACACCAAGCTCCCCCATTTCTGAGACAATCTCACGGTGGAAATCTGAGGGGTAAATGTTTGAATGAACAAAAAAAGAAAAAAAAACAATTGAAATGCAGAACTCAACAGGAACTGTTAGTAATAATTAGTTTTCTTTAGATAAATAATTCTAACCCTCTTTCACCTACGTTCATGCCTGTTGGCCATCAGGATGCGAGGCATGAGTTTTTCTTGGCAGTAGTTGCGGAAGGTGTCTCGGATCATTATTTCTTCCTCCGTCAGCTGACAATCCAGATCCAGAGGGTCCTGCCAGCTGAACGCTACTTTAGCTGAAGGACAAGAATTCGATTTTTTAGATAAAGTCACTAGTCATGCATAGTTGTACAGTATACCAGCTGAAAAGATCTAATTTGGAAGTCACTTACCCAACTTTGCCGGCTTCTTAACCTCTTCTGCATCTGAAAAAAAGCAAGGTTGCATAATAAAAGGTTTATCTGATTTCTCATCATTTTCTTATTGTTATTTGATTTTATTTTCATCTTGTTGGTTACAGAAGTCAATTAAAGTCCTTATTAAAAAGAGACTGCTGAATGTACCTTTTGCAGCTGCAGCAGCTGTGCCCTGGGCTCTGCCTGCAGTGACCACCACACATTTGTGGCTGGTGGTTAGCAAACGTGTTAAAGCACTTCTTAGAGCCATGATGTTTTTACTAGGGACGGAAACAGTGTAACAGATTAACATGACACCAATTAACACAAAATCGAAAAGAAAAAAAAGAAAATCATTGGTTTATCTATAGATTTAAAGCAACTTATCCTCTTTGTATTCAAACATGATACAAAAAAATGCACATTTAAATCTGGAATCTTTTTTGTTTTTTTATATGAATAAAATCCCTCACACAATGAGCATCCTACCCTGAAGGAAACATCACAACACAGTTACTGCAAAACATGTAAACATTTATTCAAACACCTCACCTTTTTTTCTCCCTTGACTTTATCTTTTGATGCTGTAACCTTTCAGCGATCTGATCTGTAAAAGTTGCTTAAGTAATGTTTCAGCCCCCAACACGTCACCAGTGCATGTAACTTGGATCAGCAGACGCTCTGAGCATGCGTGCTCAGTTGCACAACTGTTAGGTTACACAACTAACTCTTTTAGTAGCTTTTACACAAGCAAAACGATAACAAGCTTCTTTTTTAATTATTGTGCGCATTGTATTTTTTTTTTCTTTACGTTTCGACTGTTAATCATATGTTTCCTCTCTTACTCTCTCAAAAAGGTATTATTATTATTATTATGCAGGGGGTTTAGGGTGTGCAGGGGTGTTGCCTACCAGCTACCAGCTCATTGGCTGCTAAATTAGGCATGGAACATAATTTTTGTTCTTTAAATAAGTTTTGTAAGCAACATCATAGAAAGACAAACAGCTTACACTGCATTTTGAGCAAGTTACAGTGGTTGAAATTATTCTGTTAAATCCATTAGTCTGAAATAATTGCACCTCTAATGCAATATCAGCTGAAAAATAACAACATTACATTTTATTCACACACAATTAGGCTTTAAACAAGACTACGCCATAGTTGTTGCCATCTTTTCTGTCACAAATAGCTTCATTATTGTTTTGGAAAAATAAACAGTCGGGTTGTGTTGATCATGGTGAATTTTTGCCGAGATTACAACAAATATGGTTCAGTGACTCTGCCCTGAATGTGTTTTTCCACCTATCAAACTGGGAGAATTATTTATAGACAATTATAGATCTTTATCTTTAGAGAATAATTGTGTGCCTCAAGGTCTAATCTTGGAACCAGTTCCTTTTTCTCTATGATTGAATAACCTTATGACCTCTGTAGATCTAATTATGGCTCATTTTCTATCTTAATTACACCATTATTTACTCATTGGTGTTATCTTTTTAGCAGGCTATAGAGACTCTTCTTTAGTCCATATTTGTCAATGCCAAAACAGTTACTTAATGTCTGAAGGACTGAAAACATAATTCCTAATTCAATCCATCAAATCGACTGGTAAGCAAAATTTAGGAGGCTCAATGCCATAAGCAACTTTTGTTTGATAACGATTTGACTTTATTACAGTAATGATAGTCCGTTGAAAATTCTTAAGCCAAAAGCAGCTTTGTTAATTTTTTTGTCCGCAAAAATGTTTGTGTGTTTCCGCTGGAAAACATATTTATTGAGAACAAATGCTTTTAAGGTTTTCAGACTATCTTTATATCATTTAAATGAATGCAAGCACATAGCTGCATGAAAGTGTGCTGTAGGTTTTGCTAAACCCATGACTGATGTAAATACATTTTGCTGTGAGTTATTAATTCCGAAAACTGAAAAGCAACAAACATTTTTTGTACTCTAAATTAAGTAAAGATTCCATATTACAACAGGTTTAAATTCAGTTCTGTTTCACTTTAACATATTTTCTTTGACCGTTCCACATCAGACTAAATCCAAAGAGAAATATTAGAATTTAACTTACGATAAATGGGTACTTTTAGTTGCGGCCCTTCTGTTTAAAATTTACTTGTTTTTTTTTCCAATTTATTCGTTAACTATTCTAAATTCACATTTATCTAGTTTCATATATTTTCACTCTCCCATTAGCTTTTTATTTCTAAATCCATTCTGTACAAATCTCAAAAAATAACATCACCCAGTCTGCTTGGTTCCACCTTCGTTGCAAAAATTCTCTCTGACCTTCGTGGTCGCCGATGTCCACTGCCATGTTTGTTTACTACCTTAAATGCTCATGTTGTTCAATAAAACTGCCTTCTATTTGGTCTCCCTCTGAAGTCTTGTAAAAGATTTCTACCACCCATCTAATCACCATGAGTTCTTCTGAAAACAATACCAGTCATGCCCATAAAGAAGTTATTTAGCTTCTGATAACAGACAAAATTAACATTAAAAATCCTACTAGTCCTGTTTAAAGTCCGATGTGATGTTCTTGAGGTGAGCTGTAGGGATATTTTTTTTTTATCATATTTATAGCAACATTAGGAACTAATAGTTAAAAATGACACTAATAGTTAAACTAATAGTTTTTAAAGGTATTATGGTGGCTATTTTGTGTTGCACTCTGAAATTTTAGAGGCTGATTGGAAATACAGACATGTAGGGCAGTCTGGTTCATCCATTTGGTCTGAAGGTAGAAGATTCAGAAAATAACTGATTTACATGTTTGCTTAACAGTCCATTTGTGCAGAACTTTAACCACCCCTTAAAGAAATGGATGAGAAATTGTGAAATTCATTTGATTTTAACATGCATGTTTCCAGTTTTATGCATCGGCATCAACAGTTTCAATTGTTATCCGATGACTGTTTTATATTATTAATTTGAGATATAAACTTTTAAAATTGCAGCTGTCCAGCCTACATACCATGTCTTGGCTCCACTGATGGAAAATGTACCACTGGATGGATTGTATTTGGCCCTGGTCTCCATGCTACTAGGGTCACCGCCATGGTTTGGTTCCGTTAAGCCAAAGCAGCCCACAATTTCCCCCCGAGCTGCAGAACAGAGGAACATATGCTGTCAGGTTCGATGATCCGATGCTTATCCTTCTGCAACAAAAACTAGCTGACAAAGAAGATACGACTTACCGAGTCGTGGCAGGTACTTCTCCTTCTGGGCCTCTGTGCCGTAAGCATAGATAGGGTGCATAACGAGTGAAGACTGGACACTCATGACTGACCGATACCCACTGTCCACTCTCTCCACCTCTCTAGCAATCAACCCATAAGCAACATAACTGGTGCCTGCACAGCCAAACCCTGCAATGTAGACAGGTCAAAAAACATTTAGCTAAACTCTGTAAACGCTCATTTGTGTAGTGGCTTTAACTTTAATATGTGCATAAGTTTTACGTTTGTTTTTAACCTTTAATTGTTGGGCCAAGGACACCAAGCTCCCCCATTTCTGAGATGGTGGAAATCTGAGGGGTAAAAACAAAAAAAGGAAGAAAAAACATATTGAAATGCAGACCTCAACAGGAACTGTTAATAATTAGTTTTCTTGTGATAAATAATCCTAACCCTCTTTCACTTACGTTCATGCCTGTTGGCCATCAGGATGCGAGGCATAAGTTTTTCTTGGCAGTAGTTGCTGAAGGTGTCTCAGATCATGATTTCTTCCTCCGTCAGCTGACACTCCAGATCCAGAGGGTCCTGCCAGCTGAATGCTACTTTAGCTGAAGGACAAGAATTCGATTACTTCGATAAAGTCAATAGTCATGCATGGTTGTATAACAGCTGAAAAGATCTAATTTGGATCTAATTGATTCGTTAAATATTCTAAATTCACATTTATCTAGTTTAATATATTTTAGTTCACAACATGATTTTTGCTGCCCAATCAAGGTCAGATCAAACACTGTAAAATACTAGAACATGAACACTGGGCATACCATTAATCTTCTGTAAAACATTTATTCTCTCTTTGCGAATAGTCTCATTTTATTCACTATGTTAAATGTCCCCTATGTCATATGAACCTTAATAAAGGGCTTTGCAGCTCTTCAACATGAATTCAACAGCTTTCTTCAGCTTTATATGCTCTTGCTGGTGTGGGAGATAGGCCATCATGGTTTTTCAAAGGGAATCCGACTCATTAAATTATTCATTCCATTCCTGGAAAAGCTGCATATGACACTTCTGTGTCCGACACTTTCAGCCAATAGAGTTATATAATGGAATATGAGACTGTCTCCCAAAGTTGTACTACTTTAAGGTTTGCTATTGTTTTTGCAGACAGTTCATCAGCACAGATTATCAGTTTTACATTAACATGGGGGCTGCAAGTAATGACTACTTATCTATTTGTATATAAATGATGATGAAATGATATCACCTGTGGCATTCTGGTAAGTGCATATTTATAAACATAGATGTTTTTTTCCATTTTAATAGTGAAATGTATATATTGTAGTTTAAGCTGAATTATTACTTTGAGTAGGTTGGTCTTTCAATAAATGGCATGTTTAGATAACATTTTGCTCCATGTTGCAATAATTTGATTGCTTAATTAGTTGACTGTTATGTCAGTGTTTAAGCCCCAGACAGGGAAGCTGGTCACATTTATAAATAAAGAGTGATGGAAGCACACAATAATCCTGGAAGTTAACCTGTTATTTTTAAAATGATGAAGGCTTTTAATGTCCTTGTGTAATCTATTTAAACGTTTTTTTCTATACCGTGTGGTGGTTGTTTGTCCTGTCGATTATAATAACAGAGAAATGAAAAACTGGGGTCAAATTCCTTGTTGGTTCACAAAGACTGGGCGTTATAGTTAACTCTTAGTCTGATAAAGGTGTGTGGCTTTATTTGCAACTAATAATGGTTCCACAAAGCATTCAGTTCTCAGAGGGACGTAATATTTGCATGCATCATTCACATTTCTATTTTGAAAATTTCCTTTTTTTTTTCTTTAATTCGACAGCATGTCAATTTAGCATAACTTTCCAATAAAATATATTAATCTTATTTAGAACGATTAAGAATTTTCATTTGCAAGTACATAATGTTTATGATGCAGCTATGGTGTTTAACTACGGAAGAGGATTAGAGCCACTGAAAAAAATAAAAGAAAGTTAACTGAATTTAAAATTTTATTTCAGTACATTATGAGAAAAAAGTTTTTTCTCAGAATTCTGACTTTAATCTCAGAATTTTGGATCTTAATGTAGAAGGTCACCATGAAGGAAGAGATGTGGGAGCACTCAGCTTCACTGACAAAGATGTGAGTTGTTTGAGAGGGCCAGAAACACATTGGTGGAAAATGGTGGAATTAGGTGACTTTTTATGTGCCCGAGGGGTCCCTGGTGATGATATTTGATTACAGTTTTTTCTGATTGCTTAAGCACATTTTTTGTAACTATTGGCTATTTTTGCAAAACTCTACACACAAATAAGAAAACCTTTCACCCAATTATCAAAACATTGCAGTTATCTTACAAAAGCGAACACAGCTAGATTAACTCTTCACACCTTTGTAAAAATGGTGTTTTCATATCAAACATTAAACACAAGCC